TAAGAACAAACTATACAAATCAGTTGAAAAGGGCTTAACTCATTAGATCGATACAAAGAAGAAAAAAACAGCTAACAAAAACACAAAAAACACAAAGTACTGATCTGAGAGTACTCGCAGTTACTGAAAGATAGATCAAAGCCAATAACAACTAATAAAAAAAATCATGTATCCAACACTAACATGACCAAAATAAAGTCACTCTGTTCAGTATTACCTTAGAAAGGTGTGAGAACAATATTTGTTGGACGAAAGGACAGATAATGTGATTGTAATATAACCTCTACTGTTAGAATTGGATATAAAAACTAACCACCACTTTCATTCATTTCTGATAAAAGAAATTTAGAAACAAGAGCAACTGTTTTAACTCAAAATAACATGAAAACACAGTTGTATATTGAGCATAAGATTATTTTTTCCCACTTGTGTCTAAACATCTTAACCCAAACATTTATTGGTTTCTTTATTCTCACTTGACATTTAGTGTTTTTATTCTCGTTCTTCTTTAAAAAAAAATTGCCCAAACTATCCTGTGACTCACATACCAACAATTCGGTAACCTGTGATGTAATGCTTTGGTGTTTTTTTTTCTACTGTTCTCCCCTTACTGTAAAACCTTTTAAATTTGAAAACATATGACTTAAGAACTCTGTGACAACTCAAGTGCCAATCATTGTCGCTCTGAATATTTTACATTAATTAAGACCGTTTAATAGATTGGGGGTAAATGTTCACCTATGATATTCACCACTAACATTTACTTATAGAAAGGTGTGATGACAAAATTTGTAAGAAGAAAGAACAAATACGTTGATTGTTATATAACCCCCTTCCAACTCATAGAGTATGTATCTCATTTCTACATGTTTGACATCCGCCCAACCTCCCCCAAACAGAACAACATAAAAACATCAAGTCCGTATAAAAAAAAACTCAGACTTCGGATCAGATAAAGTAATGGCATAAACAATCATGACATCTTTTGTGTAATATAAACTTGAATAAAGTATCTTCACCCAGCTGATTGAAATTTATGCGTGAAAGGTGAAATAAGGAAACGAGGGAACGATAAAAAATCGATTTTTTTTTTAAAACAGCTAAATGTAGCTATAATGTTCAGCCACAACTTTGGTCAAAATTTATATCTGACATTTTTGCTATTGTCGTTATGGTTCCATGCAACTGAAAAGATAATATTTTACGTTCAATCCTCGTGCATTTATTGACAAATAGTTACATCAGTATAACAGTTTGATGACATAGGTCAAATCGAATCGGTTCATTTTAAGCTCTTTATGTTCTAGTAGTGGCCAGGAGCTTGGATACAGGATTTGGATATTTTTTCTTCATTGTTTGCACTGAATGTTCAATTTTCTAATGTTATACCACATACTTAACTTATGCTATGTTTGTCTTACTTTGTTTTGGGTTGCTGAATCAATACCTCGTGCTTAACTTATACTGTATGTTGTCCTACCTTGTTTTGTGTCTCTGAATCAATCTCTTATTTTACTATTTATACTAAATAAAACGTTGTTAAAAATAGAAAAAAATATCCAGTTTATGCACCCCAAAAACCTATGATAGTTGACAGCTGTGATTTGAGTATGTTAAAATTGAACAGGATTTAAGATGACCTTATGTTAGCTGAACCTGTTATAAAAACTGGCCGCCACGAAATAGCCCAAAAGCGGTGCTTAAAAGTGGCGTTAAAACACCAAAAATCAAAATCAAATGTTAGCTGAACCATGCAGGTGGACAGTCACATTAAGGTGATATCAAAAATATATAAGTGGAGCCTTCCAACGAGTATAGGTGCAAATAATTTTTATTTTAAAGATGTATTTTCATGACTTGAATTGAAAAAAAAACTACTGAAATATAAAAGATTAATCTCATTTAATAATATGCATCTCTGCCCCACCCCGCAAAAGTAGCGTGAAGAAACAAATCCTGAAAATGAGTAATATAAACCTAATAATGATGAAAATACCCAGTACGGGCATGTTTATGATATCGCTTCAGATTTCGTCATTTTTTATGAGTTTCTCATTGACAACATATTTGTTGAATTTGGAGGTAGACTTTTTCAGCAAGTTGTCGGCATTCCTATGGGAACGAACTGTGCGCCTCTCCTTGCCGACCTCTTCTTATTTTCATATGAGTCGGAGTTCCTTAAGACACTTGTCAAAAACAAGAAAATCAAAGAAGCCCGATCATTTAATTTCACATTCAGATATATTGATGATGTTCTTTCCATTAACAATCCAAACTTTTCTTATTTGGTTCCATTAATATATCCTCCAGAACTAGAAATTAAAGAAACAACAGACACGGCTTCTTCCGCCTCATTTTTAGACTTATACCTCGAATTTGACATAAGCGGTCATCTCAATACCAGAATCGTTGACAAGCGAGATGATTTTAATTTTGAAATTATAAATTTTCCCCACCTTAGCAGCAATATACCAACTTCACCTGCAGATGGGATATACATTTCCCAACTCATTCGGTATTCAAGAGCTTGCAGACTTTATAAAACGTAACCAATATTTGAGCAATAAGTTGATGAGCCAAGGTTATGTCAAAGAACGTCTCGTTCTGTTTCTAAAAAAGTGCATTGGAAGATACCAAGACCTTGTCGATAAATATTCCGTATCAACTTCACAAATAATACATGATGGTCTTGAAGTATAGATTCTAGGTACTGACGTTGTTTATCATCTTAATTACGTGTTAAATTCCCCCTTTTTTGTCCTTGTATATTTTTAACCTTTACTGTTTATCCATTTTTGATTACATGTATATACCTATGACGTGGTCGGTACTTATTCATCCCGCCATTGTGTTATTGTGCTATGGACAATTTTGAGTTCTTGTCTTTCATTTTTGTTTATGTACTTTGTCTATATGCCATTTTGTGTTTCTTTGTTTAAACAGTTATTTGTTTTTATAGTAATTAAGATTTATTTATATTACAATGTTGACTGCTGTACCCCGATTTTTTTACGTGTTTAGATATGTCTGTTTGTTTTGCTCACACATTGTTTTCAATATGATGGAATTCTATGCGACTGTCATACAATAGAGAGGTTTAGCTTGCTATAAAACCAGGTTTAATCCACCATTTTCTACATAAGGTAATGCCTGTTCCAAGTCAGGAATATGACAGTTGTTTTCCATTCGTTAGATGTGTTTGAGCATTTGATTTTGCCATATTATAAAGGACTTTCCGTTTTGAATTTCCCATGGAGTTCGGTATTTTTGTTATTTTACTTTTTATATTTCCATACTATATGTTGATGTAGAAACTTTTGAAAGGGTCAATTGAAATACCCAGGCTGAGTTGGGAGATATAAGTTAGATGTGTTTCAATGAAAAATCAATTGCCCAAAGACACACAAAAACGTCAAAAAAAGTCGTTCAAACTCGAAATCGCCCGAAGTATAGAAAAATGTGGATAAATTTACAGGGAATAATCACGATATGCCATCGAAACCATATTACATAAATTAAAGTAACATTAACAAATAGCTATAAAAGATAATGGACAAGGACTTAGTATCTGCTAAATAAGTGTTAGTTTTTAAGAATTATTGGGTCATGCCCGGATGATTTGAACTATTTAAGAGAGAGCAAAGAGCAAGAAAGAAAAATATATTTTAATGACGAACCCACAGTGGTCTCCGGGGGTCATTGTGAACTAGTTATAAAGGTTACATACCGGGCGCATCATGTAATTACTTGATTTTTTTCTGGGTTGCCTGCATTTTGCTGGAGAAGAACCATGATATTAGGGAGTTACTATCTTCCTCTAATGGTCTAATAGCTGATTCCAAAGAAGTACAGGATTATGAGAGGTATTACCATCGGCAAATGTATCATGTATAAACACTGTGACAGTGTTTTACAAAAAAAAGATGTCATTAATAAAGACATCAAATGATACAGGGCTACTTGTATAGACCCATGAGGAACACCTTTATAAATATCAAGCATTTTACAAATACTTTGTCCTGTTGTTATACCCATTTTTTTTTGAGATACCCGTAAAATTAATATAGTGCAGATGTAAGTTATGCAATATAGTTTTTCATAGTCGAATTTAAGAAAAAGATCCTATGGTAGACAGTCAAAAAGCTTTGCTTATATCCTAAAATATTGCTTCTAAATATTTAGTAAGAGGGTAGTGTTGGAAATGAAAATACAAAAGGCATATCTTGTCTCTATCTGATAGTTAAAATTCACACAAGACTAGACCCCCAATGCTTTCAAATAACTGCTCCCTAGTTAAATGATATTTTTATTTACCGAACTTTTCCTAACTTTTATTATTTTTCAACTTCCGGAAATTGAATTCGGCGGGGGCATGTGAAAATAGAAAGTATATTTAGAGTAAGCAGACAAGCTTTATCACTAGTATGATATATTACAAGTATAGAGGCTAAATTCAACCAATAATCATAGCAGACTTTTAGTTCAAAATAGACATAAAATGTCCTTTGGAAGGAGAATTGCTGGTGACAGATAGACAGTGTATCTCTCACCGGGTAGAACAACAAATGAATATTCAGAGCAAGCATACAGTACACGACAAACATAAATACACAATGGGGATGATTTGTATAATTGACCTAATATGAGACAGATCTTACCTCAGAAAGAGGAAGATGTCTGTTAGGACAGGGAAAAATGATTGTTGGTTTCACCTAACATTGGAAAATTTTGCCGGCAGGCAGGCAGGTGTTTTTTTGTTTTTTCTTCTTTTGTGTATCAAATAGTGTAGTCCAAATAATTATGACGTCTTGCAAGGCTATTTTAATTTTTTTTTCTGGGACGCCTTCCTACGACGTCATAACGCTGAAGCCAAATTTTCAAAATTGGTAAAATTTGATGGACCCGATTTTCTGGAAAGGTTCGATTTGTATTATCCGGAAATTGGGCCTGCCAAAATTTACTGACTTTTATGTTTTATACTCTCCGGAAGTGACGTATTTTGGAAATTGTGGGAAACCATTTTGAAGACAAAATAAATTTTTGCCCACCTCAAATGGAATCGCATCTTATTTTATCATTTCATTTGGATATTTCTGGAAATATTTTACATCAATAAGCACAAAAAAGGTAACACTTTGTAACTATGTAAAATTTATTAGCCGGCAATGAAGATTACATGCCAAAATTGGGTCTCAAAGTTCCCCCCAAAATTCTCTCTCAAAGTCCAGACGTAAAAAATGGCTTCAGCATTATGATGTCGTAGGAAGGCGTCCCAGAAAAAAAAATTAAAATAGCCTTGCAAGACGTCATAATTATTTGGACTACAAATAGTGATGCCAAAGATTGCGTATAGAACAAATATTTAATTACTTGACAACTGGTTTTAAACTTTGGTGACTTTAGTAACATAAAGAACTGGTGTCCATGTATTCAATCTTGATAGAATACTGGCGCTTGGTGCCGAGTTGGGTATTTTAAGGGATCTAAACAACAGGGGTGCGAAACGCTTTCATGGTAATCTTTCTGATCACTTAAGCGCTTCGGCGATCTAGAAACCAAAGCGGGAAAAAATTACCTTGACATTGTTATGCTTCTGAACAACAAAACTGAAACATATAAAAAAAAATATTTGTGAACATTACTTAGATCAGAACAAGATATACCCGTTTTTTTTTTACTTCGTTCAGTTGGAAAAAAACACCCGGCGGTTTAAAGTAGGGGAAACCAACAATTTTTTTTCCCTGGCCTAAACTATAGACATGAAAACAGTAACTTTTTTTCAGAATTAATGAGGGTTATAAATGCAATAAATGGATTGTCAGAATATTGACTAAAATATGAATCATAAAGGGATTTTACTGTTCCATATTTTGGTAATGATTTTTAAGGGTATGCCAGGTACTTTCAATGGTGTTTGTATGTTGTCTGTTTCTGGTTAAACAAAATTTACAGAATGGTTAACTTTTAAATGCTCAAATCCCTCTGAACCTCAACAATCATATGCTTTCCAGTTGCTAATTATTCTTGTTATATTGTCTTTTATTGATTTCTGTAATGTTTCTTTAGTCAGATTTTCCACTATGCCAAAAAACCTTTTTTTGCTGTCTCTTCAATACAGAACACCGGCTGCCTTTCTACCTGTCGCCCTTTGTGGTATTTTCTTTTTCCAACTTTACTTTCATCTATTTAAGGAATGACTGTAATATTTTTTCTGTAAATGAAGAAATAGAATAAAAAATGTGGTGCACACTGAATAACCCGCTTTGCGGGTTATTTAAAAGTGTGCACCACATTTTTTAGGTTATTTCGAATAGACAGAAAAAATATTACAGTCATGCCTTATAATTTAATTCTAAATTCCATTTTTAAGGAGTAAATGTTGAAAAAAACGTTAGTGACGTCAGTCACATGACACAATTATGTCTATGAGCTGATAGACAGAACACTTTTAGCCAATCAGAAGATGTGTTACATCCAAAATTAAATTATTTCCACTTTAACACCATCACCTCCTATTTTTTCACTATCTATTTCCAAAATTTTGACACAGACTTCTCTGCAAATATTGTACCAATCTAAGATTGTTTGATTACAAATTGAAAGTTCATGCTTCACAAATTCTTGGTCTATTTTGTAAATCCAAAAATTTGTTATAAGTGATATTTATACCTCCACCAATAAAAATTGACTTCCATGAAATAGCACTGTTAATAGCACAACAGTGTTGAAGGTTGCATTAAATACTAATCAAACAATCAATCATGGTTCATTGGACAATGTTTAGTTTTGGTGGTTTGGTCTATTTCTCAGATACTATAAGCAGTTGGTGTATGGAATCATTGTAAGGTGTACATTGTACATGTCCAACTGGCAGGTTTCATCTGACTTTGACCTCATTTTCATGGTTCATTGGACAATGCTCAGTTTTTGTGGTTTGGTCTATTTCTCAGATATCATAAGCAATAGGTCAAGCAAATTTGGTGTATGGAATAATTGTAAGGTGTACATGTCTGTCTGGCAGGTTTCATATGACCTTGACCTAATTTTCATGGTTCATTGGTCAATAAAACGATTTTGTGGTTATATTAGTTTATCAGTTACTATAAATATTAGGTCAACTGTATTATATCAGATGTATGTAATGATTTTAAGGTGTACGTGTCTGCCTGGCAGGGTTCATATTAACTTGACCTAATTTTCATGGTTTATTGATCAACGTTTAGATTTTGTGGTTTGATTTGTTTCCCAGGTGCTATAAGCAATAGGACCACTATATTTGGTGTATGGAAAGATTGTTAGGTGTACATGTCTGTCTGGCATGGTTCATCTGACTGTGACTTCATTTTCATGGATCATTCATAATGTTTAGTTTATGTGATACTTGTAGTTAAACTTTCATTTTACAGACATTTGATACTTGCAGTTAAACTTCATATTACAGACTTCCAACATGAATTCATTCATAAGTAAGACAGGCAAGACATTTCAGCACTTCATTTTAAACAAAACTTTACCTGGAGACTTTTTATTTTTTTATTTTTGGCATCTTTTCGTTTTTAGCTTTTTGGCGCAACTAATCCTTACATACTAGTATTTACTATAGGTTCCTGAACTTTTTATGGTCTGCTAAAGATGAATTATTAAAATAATTTTGATTAGTATTTCTAAGGAAATCATTTTTTCTTTGTGCAATGACATTTCATAAATCATATCAGGGCTCACGCTTGCAGGAGACTGGGGCGACAAAGTCGCTTTCCTGTCCGTCACTTTGCTTTGCCTGACTGTCAAAAGCGAAATCTAGACGCCCTGTTGTTCACAATACTCGCTTTCAGTCGCTTTGGTCATCGGCAATATTCAACATTTACCAAGTCGATGAAACAGCAGTTTTTCATTTGAAAGTAAAGAAATTCAAAGACATAAACGATTTATTTTCTTTAGAAAAGAGGTAAAAGCATTGATTTTAAAGTTGGTTGCATGTTATTTTCATAAAGACAATTTTTTTATTACTTCCGGTACTTTTTACATCAAATCATTCTAACTTTCGGCAAAATAAGTTTGATACTTCATTAGAACGTGATGAAATTTGCCTGAAGTAAATTTGTTATCCTTATATTGCATTAAAAACGTCATATTCCCTTCCAAATAGCGTGTCAAACATCATTTATTTTTGTAAATTTTTTTTGTCCGCCATTGAAATTTTTTGGGCAAATTATTGTACAACTGCGGATTGGAGTCGGGATTTAATCGGAAACGGACCAGCTATGAGGGAAATCCGGATTATTGCGATAATGACTACAGGCGCATGAATGGCACAGCTGACAGAAGAAAATTGATCCCAAAAGGAAAAATTATGCATTCCACAAGCATTAACATACTTTTGGTTAGATCTACTTGATTAATGTATATATTTCCATGTATATGCATTGTTTCAATTTATAAATTAAAGTTGCTCAACTCTGGGACTATTACACTAATATAATTATATTATGTCCAAGCTTAACTGTGTTATATAAAACTGTTATATTTAAATATCTTTTTAATGAGAAATACTTAATTTCATAAACATGATAACAGAGTAGTTTTTAATTGAATTTTAATTAATAAAACAACTTTCTTTTCCTTTTTGATATAAAAAAAAAACTTTTTTTATTATTGCCAGATATTTAATTGATTTTTTCTGACAAGAGGACTAATATGATTGTGCAACTAGATATGATTTAATTAAACAACTGTTACTTTAATTGTATACCCAGGTACAAATTGAACAATATAAAAAAAATAAGATACATATGGCTCTTTGTATTATAGTAAAAACCAAACATTGTAGTGCTGCGAGTGAACGAGCACTTCTCTTTAAAATCTCACCACTTCTCCCTCTCAGTTTCAAAAAGAGAAGTCACTTCTCCCTATGATTCTGAAGTAGTGTGAGCCCTGCATATACAATAACCAGGAAATACAATGGAAATACCATGAATCATTGTCTCCATAATTGAGACCTCACAATAAAATACTAAGGTTTACAGAATTTCTTGCATAAATTTTGTTATACATGTTTAATTTATATAGTTTTCCATTATTAAAATTGTAGAAAGTTTTATGTAGCAAACACAAATTATTCCTTGTGTCTTACAGTTTGTACACAAATCCTGTAAAGTACAGGAGTAATAGATTGCAGCTGACAGACTTCTTTATCTTGTTTGGCAAATTTAAAGAAAAAGGCTCAAACAAAATTTATATATGCATCATTCATATCTTTTGCAGGAACAATGACATCTTTCATGACCACAACTGGATTATCTCCTCCCTCCCATCAAGATGTTTTGGAATCAAGTGCTCGACTTATTGACAAGCAGTTACAAGATGATAGAAACTGCTTGGAGTTATCAGATCAATTAAAAGTCCCCGTTCATAGTAAGACCTATATTATAGTAAATGAAGTAATTAGTGAATAGCTGTTAAAGTCTTTAGTTAAGTAAAAAGAGTGTTTTACAATTTTTTCAAATTGTCATTTTCATGTTGTTTCCCTCGGATATGCTTAAGAATTGTATTTAACAGTTTACTTGAAAAACTATATTTATATAAGTACATGTATGTGTGCAAGATGTGGGGTATATTTGAATTAAACAGCGACCCAACAACTCATTATAACCAAAAAATAATGTCAACGTTTGGTCTTATAAACTAACAGCTATGCCATATGTCAAGCTCAAAATTGTCCAGAGATAGACTGAATTAATATCAAAGACTAGCAAGTAATATCTAGCATCACCACCAATTTTTTAAATTAAACAAAAAATAATTCAGATTTAAACAATAAAAACTACTGACCAGGTTTGTATGCTTGTATTGAAAATGTACAGAGATAACAAATGTTCATTTTGATTATATTTGTACTCGAAAATTAAGTTTGGATAAAACTAAGTTGTCCTACATCTATTATACATGTAGAGTGTTTATTCATTTATCTATATATACAGAACCTCTAGTGTTCATCCTATAGACAGTTTATTAGTATTAATAAATTTGAATATTTTATCTTGCTGATATTCTCCGTAGTGTCTTGATACAGTAACCTTAGAATATCAGACATGAACAACATATGTTTATGACATCCTGTTTGTAACAAAATTGAAAATCACAAAAAATTATTGTTTTATGGTAGAATTTATAAAAAAAACCATCTTTTGGAGCCTGATTTGTAGATTTTCAATTAGAATCCTGCAAAAAAAGAGATATGTATGCTTTAGCTTGGGATAAAATTATGAAAACTAGTTTTCAAGGTTGTAATTAATTTGTTTATTGTATTTCTGGGGTAATCTTGTGAATTCTGAAAAAGGAGAATATTAAAGGGTAACACTATATTGAGAGCAGAACACTTTGTTTTGTTCAATTTAGCTGGGGAAAGTCCTGAGTATTCATAATATCTACTGAAGTATGACTCTTTTCATTAAGAAGACTAATTGTTATTATGCAAAGTTTGAATGACCCTCTTTTATATAACAGATCAGCCAAGTCACAGTGGACTAAATGAGTTTGACTATCCAAGTTTACCTGATGCAGGAGTAGCTTTAGATTGTCTGACAGAAGTAAGCAATGTTAAAAGAGTGCCATTACCTGCTGAATTGGTAGAACAGTTTGGTCGTATCCTTTTGTCAACAAAATTATTTTAATGCTTTAATGTGCTGCAATAAATGTAAGGAGCATAAATATTTACCTGTATGTTTGTTTATATGTACAGTTTGGCATGGTTTTACTATTGAAGATCATGTATTGGAAACCAATGCTCGTATACTAGTGATATCTGCTTGCATAGTGAAGTTTTAACAACGTTTCTTTCAACCTGAACTTTTTGTTATGGCCCTGCTGACTGAGGTCATGCCATATAGTGTTACGTGTTACCTTTATCCGTCATTCTTCAACAAACAGTTATACAGACTTTTTCTAAACACCTTCACATATTGAGCTGATTTTTAGTATGAGAGTCTACTATGATGAGTTACAGATCGAGTTTATGCTTGGTTCCACTCTGCTGATATTTGCCGAAATAACGGCTTTGAACTTTGAAAATTTTGAGAAAATAACAGTTGTAGAGACTATTTTTCTGAACGTCTTCACATATTGAGCTGATTTCTAGTATGTGAGTCTACTATCATGAGTTACAGACCGAGTTTACATTTGGTTCTGCTCCTCTAATTTTTGCCAAAATTACAGGTTTTGAACTTTGGAAATTTCCACTCCTATAAATGGCTTCAAGCTTTATTTTTCGTGTGGGGCCATTAGTGTCATCCGCCACATCTAGTTTTAAATGTTTTTGCACTAGTTTGGACAGTATAAAAAAAAAGCTTACATATATTTAAGTTTATTTTATTAAAATTTTCATTTTAAAATGAGCAATGGTAAGCACTAAAAGGACTAGTTGACCAACTATTTTATAAATATTTCCAATGTAGTAAGAAAAATTATTTTTTTTTTTTACATCTGTGTATGACACTATTTTCAAAAGATCCCAAACACATTGTGACAATATTGATTTGTGATGAGTGTGGTTAATTGGATATTCTACCACTGGTCTCTGTACATCCCACATCTCCTTTTATTACAATATATTTACACTTGTAATAATTTAATACTTATTTCTTTTGGTTACAAGAAGCATAAATTGAAATAAAGAGTAAAATTAACCTTAACCATTGGAAAGGAATGCAGTGTAATTGTATGATGGGTTTGTTTCCAGACATCAGTAGAGCATGGCTAACTATAGATAGTGATATATTTGTGTGGAAGTATGAAGATGGGTGAGTATATGAGACATACGTGTTCAGTGATGAATGAGATGTTATCATTGGAATAGAAGGATACCACAAACTGTACAGCTTTATAAATATGTTCATTGAATATATTGACATAGTTTAAATAACGAGTCAAACATGTGCTTTATTTACCAAGTTATACGCATGCGTGAATTGTCTTCATCAGGAGATGAGACACTAAATCGTAAAATGCAAAATGATTTCATGATAATTAAGTGCAACTGATGGTTATATTCAAACACTTTTAAAGTTAATAAAATTAAAAACCTGGTGATTTCCTGTCATTTTGATAAACAGAACAAATCCCGGAAATGAATCCGGAATTATTAGTACTTTAGTATTGTCGTGAAACATCCAGTTTTAATTTCGTCTTCAAAATTGAAAGAAACGTTAGCAATGTTAGAGACATTTACCATTCTGAGTCATTAAAATCATTTTGATTTTAAACTGTTGCATTCCATAAACTCTTCTTGAACGTTTTTAGAAAAACAGTAAGAAAATTACTTTAATGAAGTAAATGCGATGAAACAGTAAATACGTTTCGTTGATGCTATGCATCTAGTGTGATTAATTTCAACAGTTTGAAAAAAGGGCCCCAACTTTTAAGTTATCTCAAAATTACCGAAATTGGATGAAAAATTTCCAGATCCTTGATGGAAACTGTCAACCTTTAGCAAGTTAATGACTAGATCACATACTAGTTAAAACTGGAGAACATAGATATCTGCTACTATAAAATGAATGTATTGCAGGTCGATTTTAAATATACAAACAAGGAGAAACAACCTTCAATAGAGAATCTGAACTGATGTTGAAATTCTAGATATACTTATGAGATGAAATTTTTCATGTTTTCTGTCTTAGCTAATTTATTTTGTCATTTGTTTTTTTGCTGTTGTTGTGTAATTGGGTCATTTGCATTGAAAAATATCAATAAACTAGTCTGACAGTATGTAAAACATATAGTGACAATTAATAAACTTCACTGTTTTGAGACATTTTAACAATTAATGTTTTCTATTTTCAGAACTGATATAGCATATTTTGATGGACTAAATGAAACTATTTTGTCAGTTGCACTTGTAAGACCTAAACAAGGTGTGTGGTATTCTTTTCATTGTTGAAATATCAACAAATTAAAAAAAAAATTCATTTTTAGATCAGATGAATTAATGCCTGTGGTTTAATTGCACAAATTGATGGTTGATTGAAATTATAGGTTGGAAAATGCTTATTTATAAAACGTACTCATCCAGTATTGACCAGTATAAAATAACTTACAAAGAACAGTACATTTTACAATTTAAAGTCAAATTTTGGAGAAAATGAAGGGACATCATCAAATAATTGTCAAACATAAACAAAAGTAAGACCTAATTAAATAGTATTGTATGTAGTTGTTATGGGTACTTGTATCTTCCTTATACTGGAGCTGGCATGTCAGTTAACTGCTAGTAGTCTGTTGTTATGGGTACTTGTATCTTCCTTATACTGGAGCTGGCATGTCAGTTAACTGCTAGTAGTCTGTTGTCATGGGTACTTGTATCTTCCTTATACTGGAGCTGGCATGTCAGTTAACTGCTAGTAGTCTGTTGTTATGGGTACTTGTATCTTCCTTATACTGGAGCTGGCATGTCAGTTAACTGCTAGTAGTCTGTTGTCATGGGTACTTGTATCTTCCTTATACTGGAGCTGGCATGTCAGTTAACTGCTAGTAGTCTGTTGTTATGGGTACTTGTATCTTCCTTATACTGGAGCTGGCATGTCAGTTAACTGCTAGTAGTCTGTTGTTATGGGTACTTGTATCTTCCTTATACTGGAGCTGGCATGTCAGTTAACTGCTAGTAGTCTGTTGTTATGGGTACTTGTATCTTCCTTATACTGGAGCTGGCATGTCAGTTAACTGCTAGTAGTCTGTTGTTATGGGTACTTGTATCTTCCTTATACTGGAGCTGGCATGTCAGTTAACTGCTAGTAGTCTGTTGTTATGGGTACTTGTATCTTCCTTATACTGGAGCTGGCATGTCAGTTAACTGCTAGTAGTCTGTTGTTATGGGTACTTGTATCTTCCTTATACTGGAGCTGGCATGTCAGTTAACTGCTAGTAGTCTGTTGATATGGGTACTTGTATCTTCCTTATACTGGAGCTGGCATGTCAGTTAACTGCTAGTAGTCTGTTGTTATGGGTACTTGTATCTTCCTTATACTGGAGCTGGCATGTCAGTTAACTGCTAGTAGTCTGTTGATATGGGTACTTGTATCTTCCTTATACTGGAGCTGGCATGTCAGTTAACTGCTAGTAGTCTGTTGTTATGGGTACTTGTATCTTTCTTATACTGGAGCTGGCATGTCAGTTAACTGCTAGTAGTCAGTTGTTATGGGTACTTGTATCTTCCTTATACTGGAGCTGGCATGTCAGTTAACTGCTAGTAGTCTGTTGTTATGGGTACTTGTATCTTCCTTATACTGGAGCTGGCATGTCAGTTAACCGCTAGTAGTCTGTTGTTATGGGTACTTGTATCTTCCTTATACTGGAGCTGGCATGTCAGTTAACCGCTAGTAGTCTGTTGTTATGGGTACTTGTATCTTCCTTATACTAGAGCTGGCATGTCAGTTAACTGCTAGTAGTCTGTTGTTATGGGTACTTGTATCTTCCTTATACTGGAGCTGGCATGTCAGTTAACTGCTAGTAGTCTGTTGTCATGGGTACTTGTATCTTCCTTATACTGGAGCTGGCATGTCAGTTAACTGCTAGTAGTCTGTTGTCATGGGTACTTGTATCTTCCTTATACTGGAGCTGGCATGTCAGTTAACTGCTAGTAGTCTGTTGTTATGGGTACTTGTATCTTCCTTATACTGGAGCTGGCATGTCAGTTAACTGCTAGTAGTCTGTTGTTATGGGTACTTGTATCTTCCTTATACTGGAGCTGGCATGTCAGTTAACTGCTAGTAGTCTGTTGTTATTTATGTATTATTGTCATTTTGTTTATTTTCTTTGATTACATCTTCTGACATCAGACTCGGACTTCTCTTGAACTGAATTTTAATGTGCGTATTATTATACGTTTACTTTTCTACATTGGCTAGAGGTATAGGGGGGGGTTGAGATCTCATAAACATGTTTAACCCCGCCGCATTTTTGCGCCTGTCCCAAGTCAGGAGCATCTAGCCTTTGTTAGTCTTGTATTATTTTTAATTTTAGTTTCTTGTGTACAATTTGGAGTTTGGTATGGCGTTCATTATCACTGAACTAGTATATATATTTGTTTAGGGGCCAGCTGAAGGACGCCTCCGGGTGCGGGAATTTCTCGCTGCATTGAAGACCTGTTAGTGACCTTCTGCTGTTGTCTGTTCTATGGTCGGGTTGTTGTCTCTTTGACACATTCCCCATTTCCATTCTCAATTTTATGTGATATATCTATGTACTCTTTCATTAATCAGCATCACCACTGACCAACCAATATTTATTATGTATTATAAGATGTGGTTACTTTGTATGAATGTTAAATGGCTAGGAGATTAAACAATATTTCATCTATAAAAAAATAAAATTCCACAATATTCACATCATTGTCAAAGTTAAAACTCATACCTTATGATGCTTTGTATTTCAGTTATTTTTGTTTTGTTTTACAGGTATATTCCAGCCACATATACAATATTTATTATGTCTGGCTACTCCAGTAGATATCGTTCTATTAGGTGTCACCTTTACTAGACCATTTGATGGTGAGTAATGGCTAAACAAACCTCTCAAGATATTACTTGATTAGGAATCAATTTTGCCAAATAGTTTAATGTAAACCTTCTGTAAATATTGTTTATTTAGGAATAAGTTTAATCCGACCATTTAATTGTGAGGAATGGATAATTCCACATTAAACACCAGATAATTGAATAATTAGAAATGTCAAGCAACCCAACAGTACAAAAATGAAACACCATCTAGAGATCAACATACATGTAAGGTGTTCAGTTATTGTTTATAATCCAATCAGAGGGAATGCAGAGAAGTAAATGATAACTATATATGAAATTCCATACATTTTTGTCTACTCTGCATAAGCATGCTGTAAATTCAAAGACTTTTGCTTGCATTAATATTGGGATGGTTGATATATTATTACAATATCAGGAAATGGCACATACATTGTACACATAATGTTTTTGATATTGAAATGTGAGTTTCTATTTTGCCAAAGACATTCCGTCATTATTTTTGCAATAAAAAAAACCATTCAAAAGTTCTGAAATTACAGTAATTGATTAAAAAATGTTCTTTTCTTTAAATAGCTCTGTCCTTCACTTTTCATATCCATGCTATACATGGACCCACGTTTTGATGTAATTTTCTATTTGTTTAATCTTTGTAGGAGCCTCAGGTGGTGGAGATATGCACTTGTTACCAGAATATCTATTTTCAATACCAACAGACAATACATTTATGATGAACATCATAGGAACTGACAATGGCAGAATATTTATGGCAGGGAAAGATGGATGTTTGTATGAAATTGTATATCAGGTGAAATTTTCTTACTTAGAAATAATTGACAAATGCAATATTGTCTTGTGTGTAAACAAATGAAAAACATATAATACAGACAGCAACCAAGGACCATCCCTGAATTACAGGCTCCTGTCAGACACATAATGAATGTGGTTGGGTTAAATATTTGTTAGTGCTCATCACTCCTCTAACCTTGGTCATTATCATTGCTTTAGCATGTGTTTAAGATTTTACTCAAGCTTTTAATTATTAATTGGGTGTTTGTATTATATATAACAGCAATAATTTTAAACAAAATGCATTGAAATTAACTTAATATTGTTTTAAGTGAGAATTTAGTGATTTTTGCAAGAATTTTTTAATTAATTTTAATTTTTTATTTAAACAGGCTGATGATGGTTGGTTCAGCAGAAAATGTAGGAAGATCAACCATTCTACCAGTACTTTATCCTTTCTTGTTCCTTCCTTCCTTAACTTTTCATTCAGTGAAGATGGTAAGTATGTTCAAGTAGTTGTTTGAATATTTTATGCTGTGGCTTGAAAATAGTTGAACCATATAGGTTTGTTCTTGTTCATCCAATTGAACATTCAGCTTCATTTGGTAAAGTTGTATTCAGGTTCATATCTCAAAAAATTGAAATCTGTGCTCACTTGTCAATGTTTTCTGTAAATTGCAATGCTATTTATCAGCATTTAGGTGGCAATGACTTACATCTCATACCTAAGTGTCTTTGGTTAAATTTCGATTTTATTTCAATTCATCAGAAACCTACAGTGATAAATTAAAGATATTTAAGCTCTGTATTTTTCTTAACATATACGATGCTTTTAGCAACATATGTGTCTCTGTGACAAATTATTTTCTCATTGGTGTTTTTTGAAGCATATCCTAGTGTTTGCCAAACACATCATACAGTTGTGATCAATGTGTTACATATCAAGCAAAGTTACTTCAGAATGGAAACAAAGAAGGTACCTTATGCTAGAATGTAATCTGAAGTTTTGAGATGACAGAAGTCAAGCTTTATTTTATCACTATAAGATATAAGCCACTACTGCTACTACTGCTTGTGTTTGAAATTTGGTATTGATAAAATGACTTTTTAAGGGAAGATGAAATTCATGCATAGTAACATCTTTTTAGTCATGTTATGAATACCATTTACAATTGGCCTTCATTTTCATTTACATATTCCAAGCAAAAATTGGTTTCCTGGCTTGAAATGGGCATTTAAGATGCATAGATGGGTCAAATATTTCAGAGCACGCAACCCTTCCCTTTACTGGGACAGCAGTGTAACACCATAACAATGCAACAAAGAAAAATAACAACTGAAGTTGCAGTAAAAAGATGTACCAAATTTTGTGATTCTATTTTCAGATCCTCTTGTCCAACTGTGTATTGACAAATCAAGAAATATTCTGTATGCTAGAACAGAGAAAGGAACAATTCAAGTGTTTGACCTTGGACAGGATGGTAAAAGCATTGGCAAGGTCACATCTGTACCATTAGCGACAATAGTACATAATGCTTCACATGTAGCCAGGTAGGAAAAAAGTTATGAAAGCATTACATCTATACCACTACAAACATACGCAATATTTCTCATGTGGCTAGTTAGGAAAAGGTCATGAAAGCATTTGATTTATTCCTCTTCAGACCAAGGATCCGGAAATTTTCCCAAGTCATTTCGGTCATTTTTTTTTTTGTGATGTAATAATATCGTGATGCACAATAATGCATTTTTCTGAGGGTGACAAGTGTTGCACATGGACAAGTAAAGTCCTTTTTTGTGAAGTATTGGGTCAAACAAGTGTAACTGTACCTTGATCTAACAGTAACAGTGATGTCTCTGAGTTAGAAACTACACGAGGAGACGTTTTGTTGTTGTGTATTGCATCACTGAGGTCGTATGCATAACCCTTTAAATTTGCATAAATTAAAAGAGGAATAAAATACGGCATGTTTCATCATTTTGAAATAAAGTTATGTAAACCAATTAATAAACTGTGTTGAGCTTCTTATTGCATGTACAAGATATCGTTTGTATTGTTCAAATTGCTGCTGTTTGGATGAGTGTAAGTGATTACCTAATACACAACAAGATAATGTGTATTCACCTGGTTTACGATGTGAGGATCAAAAAGGGGAAACCATGAATTCTGTTGGTCTTCACAGAGAGAATGTATGGCTTCACTTTGGTAAAAATCGGAAGTTTAGCCAGGAAAACAAAAGAAAGGATAACGCCCATTACATTCTGTGAGTAAGATGGTTTCAAAAAATCGGAAGTGCAAAAAAAACAAAAAAAAATAGAGATTGTTCATTCGCTGAGTATATTTCTTAAATAGGCTGTATGGCTTCAAATCTAAATTACGTTATTTAGTTTTAATTCCTTTTTTAAACATTTTTTTTTAATTCTGGATTCCTATAAATTATACGCTTTACCACTTTTGCAAATCTATTAATATCTTTATCCGCCATTTCCTACCGAAAAGTTAACAGTAAAATCGATCTTTCAAATAAGATTATCAATTAACCCATGTTGATCCCCATTATCCATGCGCAAACTCAGTAAACATAAATCTATATTTAACAAACGTTGACCAAATCAGCTGATCGATTATAAATGGATTATATGTTTTATTTGGATAAAAATAGACAGATTCTCGGGTCAACAGTGTTATTTGTCTTCTTTAATGAATAAAATAATATCTGTTTGGGAAAATCTAGGTCAGAATGGTTAAAACGTTAAATTTGATGCACAGCAAATCACCATATTGTTTTTATTGCTTAACAGGTGTTTACAGGTGAGATTTGTGTACATGGCCTTTATGGCTTTAATCAAGACAATAACGACACCCAAGCCGAATTCAAACTTCCTGGACATTGATTACTATCCTTACCATGTAAACAAACCTAGTGGCTTGAACCCAGACTTACCCCACGCTGTGACTCGACAGAGTCCTGTACATTGTTTTTACTTACATTATAGAATAAACAACAGACTAATGATAAATATTATTAAATCACTAACACAAATCAATAAAATTTTTATTTTGTCTCAAACAAATCTATTTTTCTTGATGACCTGAAAACAAAAATAAGTTCAAAATGGCGACCGATAAAACCCTGATCTCAATGAAATGACCGAAATTATTTCTGTAAAAAAAAAAAAAAGACCTAAATCCCAATAAATCATTTCGGTCTTTTCAGTTTCCAAATCGGTCATGTCTGGCATATATGACCGTTTCCGGACCCTTGCTTCAGACAATTGTCAACCATTTTTTTCATGCTGCTAGAACTGTAAAGGTTATGTCCAGGTAACATATGTATAATTAATGAAATGTTACACAATACATTCTTGTAGCAGCTAGGTGATAGTCACATTAGTACCACAATGAAAATTAAAAACCAATTGTTCAGAGAACAATTGAAAGTCTTTCCACCAGTAAGGATCTATTTTGATATGAAAAAAATTAAAATTAGGTTTTAAATATCAATTCCAGCATCAAATGACAGCTTAATGTACGCTTATTCCAAAAATATACGGTTTCTATACAAAAAAAGATAAATAAGGGAGATAATTTTTGACTTCCGGTTTAAAAAAATGTCACTTCCGGTATTGTTTGATAGTTTACTTGACACTGATTCCAAAAATATATAGTTCTATATACTTTTCCATTAATTTAGTACAATAAATAGCTACTTCCGGTTTACAAAATGTCACTTCCGGTTGGCTTTTTCAAGGTCAAATGGCTTGCAACCTAATGCAAAAAGTCCCATGGCTTTATCATGTATATATATGAGGTAAAAGCAAAGGTCAAAATATAGAACGTCGAATCAACCTTTGACCTTGACCCCAATTTCAAGGTCATGAAACAAGGGCTTCAAATCAAAATACCCTAGGTCTCAATTATATATGATGAATGAGTTATATCACCATACGTGTAATTTTGAATATGATAGGGGAGAAAACTCCCATTAATTGTCTACGTACCCTTTCAACTCAAATTAACGTGTTACGACATGTCGCAACTAACAATTCTGTAAAACAATTTGTCGATATCTTATAAGATTTCTGAAAATTATTGATAACAAGCCAAAATCAAAATTTTTAACATGACCTTGACCTTTGACCTTGACCTCATTTTCATTTTTATGGACCAAGGACCTCAAATCAAAAGACCCTAGGCCTCTATCACTTATGGTTTTCCAGTTACAAATACTTTTCACATATATCAAATACAAAAGGGGAAATAACTCTCATATGGAGTCTTTTTAAAGCTTCGGTCTAAATAAAACCTTACATCCTGAGGATATAACGAGCAATTTGGAAAAATAAATTTGTCGCTTTCTTTTACGGTTGCGGAGGAGATCTCATAACAAGAAAAACAGTGTTTGGGGAGACAACTCTTACAAAGAAAAATGTTCGGTTAAACAGGGTCAGTTTCAAAAGCGAATAGACTGCATGATATCATATACCAAAAAACTAAGCAACGACTTTTGAAACAAAAATACACCGCAAGAAAAAAATTAGGCGGAAGAAAAAAAAAAAAAAATAGAACGTCAAATTAAACTTTGACCTTGACCCCAATTTAAAGGTCATGAAACAAGGGCCTCAAATCAAAAGACCCTAGGTCTCAATTATATAAGATGAATGAGTTATATCACCATACATGTAATTTGGAATATAAAATGGGAGAAAACTCCCATTAAATGATCCGTACCCTTTCAACTCAAATTTACGTGTTACAACATGTCGCAACTAACAATTCTGTAAAAAAATTTGTCGATATCTTATAAGATTTCTGAAAATTATTGATAACAAGCCAAAATCAAAATTTTTAACATGACCTTGACCTTTGACCTTGACCTCATTTTCATTTTTATGGACCAAGGACCTCAAATCAAAAGACCCTAGGCCTCTATCACTTATGTTTTTCCAGTTACAAATACTTTTCACATATATCAAATACAAAAGGGGAAATAACTCACATATGGAGTCTTCGTAAAGCTTCGGTCTAAATAAAACCTAACGTTCTGAGGATATAACGAGCAATTTGGAAAAATAAATTTGTCGCTTTCTTTTACGGTTGTGGAGGAGATCTCATAACAAGAAAAACAGTGTTTGGGGAGATAACTCTTACAAAGAAAAATGTTCGGTTAAACAGGGTCAGTTTCATAAGCGTATAAACTGTATGATATCATATACCAAAAAACTAAGCGACAACTTTTGAAACAAAAATACACCGCAAGAAAAAAATTAGGCGGAAGACAAAAAAAAAAATAGAACGTCAAATTAAACTTTGACCTTGACCCCAATTTAAAGGTCATGAAACAAGGGCCTCAAATCAAAAGACCCTAGGTCTCAATTATATAAGATGAATAAGTTATATCACCATTCATGTAATTTTGAATATAAAAGGGGAGAAAATTCCCATTAAATGTCTCCGTACCCTTTCAACTCAAATTTACGTGTTACAACATGCTGCAACTAACAATTCTGTAAACAAATTTGTGGATATCTTATAAGATTTCTGAAAATTAGTGATAACAAGCCAAAATCAAAATTTTTAACATGACCTTGACCTTTGACCTTGACCTCATTTTCATTTTTATGGACCAAGGACCTCAAATCAAAAGACCCTAGGCCTCTATCACTTATGGTTTTCCAGTTACAAATACATTTCACATATATATAATGCAAAAGGGGAAATAACTCTCATATGGAGTCCTTGTAAAGCTTCGGTCTAAATAAAACCTAACATCCTGAGGATATAACGAGCAATTTGGAAAAATAAATTTGTCGCTTTCTTTTACGGTTGCGGAGGAGATCTCATAACAAGAAAAACAGTGTTTGGGGAGATAACTCTTACAAAGACAAGTGTTCGGTTAAACAGGGTCAGTTTCAAAAGCGTATAGACTGTATGATATCATATACCAAAAAACTAAGCGACAACTTTTGAAACAAAAATACACCGCAAGAAAAAATTTAGGCGGAAGAAAAAAAAAATAATCAGAAGAAAACCAATAGGTCTTTCCACGGAAAGGTGGAAAGACCTAATAATTCACAATATTTTTCATGTAGCTAGGTAAGTAAAGATAATGTCAAGGTCAATAGTTCAAATGTTAAGCAATTTGATATTTGACGCTAAAAGTCAGTTTAACTTACATTAAAAGTAACATATACATAAATAGGTGATTTTGTCCATTTGTTTTTTTTACATAGGAAAACTTAGCTGGTGCACCTCTTTGTGCCTCACCAGCAATGAAATAGAAAATAAACTATGGATTTTATCAACTATTTTTAAAGAAGTAAAAAATATGCTTGAAAGATTTATTCCAATGTGTAAATTATTGTGCACTTATTGTGATGTTGACAGTTAATATCAACAACAATTGACCTAGTTAAATGCCTATTAACATAAAATATGCTATAAAGTAAAAAATCAAGTAGGAAAATGTTATGTTTTAAATTTATAAGATATTTCAGCTTTTTTTCACACATTAATTTTTGTTTCAGAACAATAGAAAGATCAAATTTCAAACCAATTGTCCACATTAGTGCTATTTCACAGTCTGAATCTTCTAATATCCATCTTGTAGCAATTACAAAAACAGGTATGATACAATTTTTTCCCCCATACATTTTATAAGTATAATTTCACCCTTTAGTAAATTATAGGAATATATAGGAATGTTATTAAACATTCTATGACTAACAAATGTCTATAATTTGATGCCATGGAAATTACTTTGTTTACAGTATGACTTCCTACCAGAATACATAATAAAGATAATAGAAAACATGTATCTTAAGATGATAATATAAATGAAGGGTAGATGTATGTTTTAGACCACTTAAACATTTCCTCCTAGTTTTCTTTTGTCTTCTCTAAACTTATATGTCACAACTTAATAAGAATGGTACAAAAGAGAGGCGAAATATACCAAAGGGACATTCAAACTCATAAGTCAAAAATAAACTGACATCGCCATTGGCAAAAATGAAAATGACCAAAAGACAACCAACAGTATACAAAACGCTACATAGAAAAAGACTGAGCAACACGAACCCCTCCAAAAAGCGGCAGTGATCTAAGGTTCTTCGGAAGGGTTAGCAGATCCTGCTCTACATGTGGCACCCGTTGTGTTACTCATTTAAGTACAAACCTGGTGATAAGTCTAATTCGGTAGGTCAAATTTGGGGAAAAGACGACAATTGGATCATATCTGTCGTCATCTGTGAAACAGATATTCTAAAAGGGTCACCAACTCGTGATGGCTTCTGTAAAATTTTAGAGGGGATATTCCTGTACATTTACAACTGTATTTAATATTTAGATTGTTTATTTTCTAAAAACATTTATAAGTAGTTTAATTATAAAACTAAAATTGTCTTTCTTTGTGTAGATTAACAAAACCTTCAAAAAAATTTAAGTGTTTCAGTCTCATTAAATGTTTTTCAGGAGTCCGTCTGTATTTTACAACAAATCTATTTGGCAGCAATAAAGGGAGACCATCTATGTTGACTTTGGTGCATGTAAGATTACCTCCAGGATTTTCTGCAACATCAAGAGTGCAAAAACCACAGAATGTTCATATGGCTTACTACAAAAAAGGTCATTATTGTTACAGTATCTTCCTTAAAATTACTTAATTAAATGGTTGTCTTGACTGTTGGAGGTCATGCATTTTATCCGCGATATGTTCAAATAAAAATCATATATATTGCATATATATTTAACTAAAGTTTTAAAGCTACTGACTCTATAAGGATTATTTTACTAATACTTGGGCATTTTTATTATTATGGTTAAATGTACTGTCAAAGACAATTTTTTCCTTTCTATTTCACAAAAAAATACTAGCCATCAATAGATGTCCACCTACTTTTTGCCACCAATTTATGTGAATGCCAGATAGATTAGTAAGACACTATAAAGAAGGTTGGCTCTACAAAGAAATGTAAATGAACATTCTTTTGTTTTGTAGGCTCCTTATTATTAGTATCGTCACAAACAGAAGACAGTGATTTGTTATGGACAATGAGTCCAGATTCTTTTCCTTTTCAAAGTCAGTTGATGGAAGCTCAGGTAATTTTAGAATATATGTTAATAAAAGCTTTACCAAGAGTGTTTGCTCATTAAAAGTTGACAAAATACAAATAAGTTTTTTTCCATTAAATTAAACATGTTGTTTGCACATCTTCATATGATGTCAATCAAAATGATACCCATTAGATCTTAAAACTAATGGTAATCTAATCATTAGGTAATTGACAAATAGAGAAAAACAAACATTGTTTGCAAAACAAATTCCAACTTCACATGAATGAAATATACTATCTTATCATAATTAACCCTTTTCTATCTAGTAATATGATGACTCAATTTAGATATAAAATAATAGTAAGATGTGGTATGATTGCCAATTAGACAACTTTTCACAGAGACCAAATGACATAGAAAGTCTGAAAGTTTATTTTTATTTTCATTTTATGGAGTGATCACTTAAAAATTATGTTCTAATACATGATCCTAAATCCATGTCATTTTCAAACTTTTCTACCAAGTTTACATATTTTCAGACAACAACAGGTATTGATGGGAAGACATGGGCATTATGTGAAGAGACATCAGAAAACTATGTATCAGGAGCAAGCAAAGCTGATCCTCCAGCCATAGTCACTCAACACAGTGATTTACCCAGGAAGTTCATACTACTTAGTGCTCAGGTGAGTAAATACAGTAAAAAAACTGACCCCCTGCCATAGTAACTCAAAACAGTGATTTACCCAGGAAATTTGTACTACATAGTGCTCAGGTGAGTAAATACAGTCATAAAACTGACCCCCAGCCATAGTAACTCAACACAGTGATTTACCCAGGAATTTTGTAGTACTGAGTGCTCAGGTGAGTAACTGCAGGCAAAGGTGATCCCCCAGCTATAGTAACACAACACAGTGATTTACCCAGGAAATTTGTAGTACTGAGTGCTCAGGTGAGTAACTGCAGGCAAAGGTGATCCCCCAGCCATAGTAACACAACACAGTGATTTACCCAGGAAATTTGTTCTACTTAATGCTCAGGTGAGTAACTGCAGTCATAAAGCTGATCCTCTGTCTATAGTATTTACCCAGGAGATTTGTACTAGTGATTGCTCAGTTGAGTAACTGCAGTTATAAAGCTGATTCTCTATCTATAGTATTTACCCAGGAGATTTTTAATACTGAGTACTTTAGTCACAATTCTGATACATCAGGTTATAGTAGCACTATACAGAGATTTACCCAGGAAGTTGTTGCACTTGGTGATCAGTATCTAAATATTAGCGGATTTTTCATCTGTTGTAACGCAGCCCAGTTATTTACCCTGCAACATTCATGTTCCGTAAAAAATTCATTTTAAATGAAATATGTACTTCCATCTGTATGTGCATCCAACATTATAAGTGCTCCTTAGAATATATTTATTTTTGAGCTATGGATATTATATAGAAGATATGTTTTATCAATATCTTAGAAGTGCGCTCAAAAATTCTTAAAAATTTCAGTATTTCAATAACAATTAAATATTTATTTCATATATTTTAGGGAAGTCATATATTAACAAAATTACGACCTGTTGACCAGTTACGAATGTTATTGATTGAATATCAGGGACCAGATGCTGAGGAAGTCAAAGGTTTCTTCAGATTACACAAGGTTTGTGTTATAAAGTCCTATTCATTCTACAGTTATGATACAGTCATAATATAATTGTGGAGAAAGTGTTGGGTTAAATGATAAATGGGAAGAAGACGGATATTTCTTTATACATTTATTATTATCAATGAAAAAGAAATTTCTGCAAGCATGTAAATTCTATAAAATTCTTGTTAATGCAGTCCATCATGAGATGAATTCAGTAACAGTTATTACTATAATGGAATTTTTATATGTAAAATAAAAAAAGATATTCTTGAATTAAATTGCTTATTTATTTGCAGATAGAGCAAGCATGTGCAACCTGTTTGATATTAGCTTGTTCCAGAATAGCTGCTGATCAACAGGTACATTTTTTGTTTGTTGTTTCAATTAATATTTTCATTTTTATACCAGTGAAGTATGCTTGTTTACGTCTTTTTGTATGTCCGCCCATACAATTTTTGTATCCATTATCACATAACCTACAAATCAGAGCTTCCTAAAATTTGGTATTAAGCTTCATGTGAGTATGATATACTGTGCGATGCATTTCAGATTTATGCTCATTAACTTTTTGAATATGTATTGGGATATCATTTGTGAGTAGTTGCACATTGTTCAATGTGTACATTTGGCATTAACTAGAAAGTACTGTGAATAGGTCATAACAGTGTCTTTAGATTTTATATAGAAATCAGTTTATTCTCATTCTGCAAGGAAGTTGATTGATAGTGGATGAGTTTTCCTGAATCATGAATGAAGACTTGTAAGAATAGGTAGATGTTTGTATTAAAGGCAATTGATAGATACATGTAGTGCATGATTTTTTTTTGAATTATAAATGGAGACTTGTTAAAATTTAAGGAAGATTTTTATAATGAAAAAGGCATAATTACAGAACTTAATATTTTTTTATAATTTTATCATTTAGAAAACTTTTATGTACATTAAAGGTTTCAAACTGGGCAACAATGGCATTTTTTATGTATGGTGGAGATGCCCAGTACAATTTAAATCCTACTGGTATGGGTGACAGAGGACTAATGGCCAGTAATATTGGTCCAGGTTGGTATTTGTAACTGCCATAGTGACAGGAATAGATGACAATCCTTTAACATAATTAGAAATAAAGGTCCATTGTTGATCTTTCTTCCTGGAATTTTATATGTAGATTTGAAATACTGTGAAAGTACTTTTATTCGTGGGGTACCAATTTTCGTTGTTTTATGGGTGGCTTTATCCACGAATTTATGTGTCCAACGAAATATAACAACTGTTGTCCAAATCAAGACATGGAAAGATCCCTATGTAGGTTTGACTACATGGATACAGGCATATAATCTAGAGAATACATCAGATATCAGGAAACGCACCATGATCGATATATATACATCTTCCGACAGGATTTTACACATTTAATCTTTAAAAAATTTAAAGTGTACAACTTTTAACCTTTAAATTCTCACGAAAAACTAGTTTTGAATGATGAAAGTCAGACTTCTGGTAATGATATGCAATGATGAAGTATTCATTTTATCTCCTCATAATTCTCATACGGAAAAAAAATTATAACTTCATATTGGGCTTGCTTTTTTATTTCATAAGAATTGATTCTAAATTCAAAGGACATTTGTAGCATTTTTTTATGTAACCATTTTTAGCTCACCTGACCTGAAAGGTCAAGTGAGCTTTTCTCATCACTTGGCGTCCGTCGTCCGTCGTCCTGCGTCCGTCGTCCGTCGTCCGTAAACTTTTACAAAAATCTTCTCCTCTGAAACTACTGGGCCAAATTTGACTAAACTTGGCCACAATCATCATTGGGGTATATAGTTTAAAAAATGTGTCCGGTGACCCGGCCAACCAACCAAGATGGCCGCCATGGCTAAAAATAGAACATAGGGGTAAAATGTAGATTTTGGCTTATATCTCTGAAACCAAAGCATTTAGAGCAAATCTGACAGGGGGTAAAATTGTTTATCAGTTCAAGATCTATCTGCCCTGAAATTTTCAGATGAATCGGACAACCCGTTGTTGGGTTGCTGCCCCTGAATTGGTAATTTTAAGGAAATTTTGCCGTTTTTGGTTATTATCTTGAACATTATTATAGATAGAGATAAACTGTAAACAGCAATAATGTTCAGCAAAGTAAGATCTACAAATAAGTCAACTTGACCAAAATGGTCATTTGACCCCTTAAGGAGTTATTGCCCTTTATAGTCAATTTTTAACCATTTTTCGAAAATTTTTGTAATCTTTTACAAAAATCTTCTCCTCTGAAACTACTAAGACAAATTTAACCAAACTTGTCCACAATCATCATTAGGGTATCTAGTTTAAAAAATGTGTCCGATGACCCCGCCCGCGAACCAAGATGGCAGACATGGCTAAAAAATAGTACATAGGGTAAAATGCAGTTTTTGGCTCATATCTCTGAAACCAAAGCATTTAGAGCAAATCTGATGAGCATAAAATTGTTCATTAGGTCAAGATCTATCTGCCCTGAAATTTTCAGATTAATCAGGCAACCCGTTGTTGGTTTGCTGCCCCTGAATTGGTAATTTTAAGAAAATTTTGCAGCTTTTGGTTATTATCTTGAATATTGTTATAGATAGAGATAAACTGTTAACAGCAATAATGTACAGCAAAGTTAGATCTACAAATAAGGCAACATGACCAAAATTGTCAATTGACCCCTTAAGGAGTTATTGCCCTTTATAGTCAATTTTTTACAATTTTCATAAATTTTGTAAATTTTTGTAAATTTTTACAAAGTATTTTCCACTGTAACTACCGGGCCAAGTTCATTATAGATAGAGATAATAGTAAGGAGCAAGAATGTTCAGTAAAGTAAGATCTACAAACACATCACCATCACCAAAACACAATTTTGTCATGAATCCATCTGTGTCCTTTGTTTAATATGCACATAGACTAAGGTGAGCGACACAGGCTCTTTAGAGCCTTTAGTTTTAAGTGAGATGTTTATTGCCCAATTAACACCTTTGATGATCGTTAATCTGTTGATCATTCAATCTCGCAGTTAATTAGTGTCATCACTTCCGATTACAAGTATGCAACCATTAAAATGTTTACTTTGCAATTTCCTTCAATTTGTAAGCATAGATGAATCAGCTTATTTCCAAAAGCAATTATTTTATTAAAAAATTAATGAATGTTGTCAGTATTGAAAGACAAACAAGTAAGTGAAAATGAACACCTTATTTTGCAATGTCCCACAAATTTTAATGAAACAACATATGATTACTTTCAAGAATCTTCGTTTCTGATGGCTTCAAATTCTTTACTCGTTATTTTTGTCTTCAGAAAACTACAATCCACGAATTTAAGAACCCACGAACATGTAACTTTTGCTCAAACCACGAAAAGTGATACCCACGAATAAAAGTACTTTCACAGTATGCAAAAAATGAAATATACCTTCATTACTTTTGATAATGTGTAGTTTATCTTGAAGTTGTTGTTTCTTGAACTTGAAACTTGTACACATGTTCATTATGATGTAAACTATGTAAACTGTTGAAAATATATGCCATATTAGGGTTTTGACCCAGATTTCGGTGTTCACTGAACATTGAAATGTGATAGTGTGAGCAGTGCATGGTGTCTTATGGAAACAGATTCTTGTTGTTTAACTAATAGGGATAAGTTTAAGATACTTAAAGAACTTATTGATTGTTAGACAAGTATAATAAAATTGATTAAATCAAATGAATTCATGTCTAAAATGATACAGTGAAATTGAATTGTATCTTTACAGGTCTCCATCCAAGTCAGACCTCCACACCAGCTCCTGGAATGGGACCCGGTGGCATGCATTATCATCATCAGTTCAATCCAACTCAGAATATAACACATGACATTGTCTTCTCAGGAAAACATAATGGAATATGTCTGTATCTCTCCAGAATTCTCAGGTATCTTTAATCAGAATAATCTCTGATATAGGCTTTCTCAGTCTGAAAATACCGCTAGTTTAGTTTCTAGAACAAATGTTATTATCGACGGTCATGATCTACTCCAGAAGAAACAATAGTAAGAATTTATAATATTAAGAAAGAATGTATATGCATGTAGATTATGATGAAGATTTTATATTTTATTAACATTTTTGTTCCATAGTATAGTTCACAGTTGAATCATAATTTTTCATCAGAATATAGTTCTGTGGGAACACATAAGTTCAATTTTTCACACAAATTTTATTTTAATACTGCCATATCTACATGTATGTTCATTATAATGCTAATATGCAAATTTTGTTATGTTTACCATATAAAATTAGTTTGAGCTAATATTTATACAAGGTTATTTTCTTCCAGATCTGTATGGGATAGTAACGTTGCTTCAGATTTTCCCTGCCAAACGCAACAAGGAATTGTTAATTTAGTAAGTCATTTGTTTGATAAAATGTTTATTTTCAGTGTTCCAGCTTGATCGTTTTATCAGGGCGGTCCGCCCGCCCTTTCCCGACTGATGCCCTGTGCCCTTTTTATTAATGAATTCCAATATCGATTTAAACGTTTTCCAGGGATAATGATTATGCAGTGAAAAAGTCATTACAATTTCATTTTTGCTGTGATTCCTGGTTTTAAAAAAGATGAACCCAACTTTTGTTGATCAGGAATGTTTCCTGTAAATAACTGAAGTGAAATTGTGAACTAGATTTCCGGATCCTTGTTCTAATCTTCATATTTAATCATCACATCGGTCAAATCATGCAATAACTGCATACATTTGTAGCATGCCTAAGGCCTTCAAAGATCCTGTTCCTTGAAGGACTTAGGCATATGTATAGCTAGTAATACTGTATACATAATTGGTCCCTTGCTGTAACCCAAAATAAGGTAAATTTTTATCTCGCGCAAAAGTGACTAAAGCCCTCAAAATCCTAGCTGAAACCCTGCTGTTAACATAATTAAAAACAATTTGACATGCCCTTTTTGAATTATCAATAAGCGTGCTAAAGTGCCCTTTTCATGATTGGCTCCCTGCCCTTTTTAAATCCTAGCTGGAATGCTGATTTTGGACAATGTAGTAGGATTTTCTTTTTCTTTTTATTCCACAATGTGTAGATGGGATTGTTTTTTTTTTTCCTTTTTTCATTCAAAAGTTTAGATAAAAAAGTTAGATACATGTACATGCATACTATTAATCATCACATATAAAACTTGTTCTTAACTATGAACTCATATTGTATCTACAACTTTAAAGTAAAACTGGCAGATTGTGTAGACAGTAAGAAATGTCTTGCTAATATGTTGTTTTTGATGGACCGTCTGTCAGTGAAAAAGAGATACAAGTTAGTAATAGTATTTAGTAAAATTTGTGTACAATGGACTACTAGCAGTATATTTTAGCGGATACATAACTTCTAGGGAAAATCATGTATAAGACTTACATTATTAGTAACTGCTAACTTTGTAGTTATAGCAGATGCATTGATGGTAACAATTAATATAAGTCCAAGGATAATCATAAATAATTTATATTTACAATTTTGTAGATGAATTGCAATTTATCAAATGTCATATTGACAGAGATATTGGAGAATGTGCGAGGATTGTCCGACTTTGTTGACTTTAACTCTAGATTTGAAACAGGACCTGCAGATACTGGGTAAGTTGTTATTGGTTCTATTTTACTATGTATGTAAGTTCTTTATTATCAAATTTATTATTGAATAGAATGCTAGATTTGTTTATAGATAAACAGTGATTCTGTGAAAGCTGATCCTTCTCTGTTATTTGTTATACAGTAGGCTCTGGCAAATTTAATACTCAAAATGTCAGCAAAAAATATACCATTTCCCAATATATTCAATTAGAAGATAAATGTATATTCATTGAAGCTTCTGCAATAAATGAGCTTGGCCTAATTTTGAGATTTTACTAGCTCTGACCACTGCCATAAAAAAAAGGTAAGGGTAATTTCTTTATTTTTCGTGTACATTACCACAATGTATGTGTAAATATGTTCAGCTGGTTATGTATCTCTCATATTTGTTTTCAGCTTTTCAATTCTTTGTTTATTAGAATAAATCACAAGTACTGTTATATTTATATGAATAAATATGTACCATCCGTATTTTGTGTCTATTTCTTTCATAAACGAAGTAATTTCCATATTTATGTGATGTAAACACATGTGGTCCACATGCACATGTTACATACTTGTATCTGACATAAGTCATAATTCTCTGTTAAGAAGGGATTTATGTGTATATTGCGATTAATGTTTATTTCTGATTCTGTGAACACTGCAGAGATTATCAAAAATTCTCCTAGCATACTGCACTTGTATTTGTAGTAGGGTAGAGTGGGCAGTAGAGCAGACTAGATTTCATGTCAATACTTTTATTTTGACAGTATAAACAATAACGCTGCAAGTACATAGATAGACATAAGTTATACACAAATAAACATAGACATGTGCACATTATCAATAAGACAATACAATACAATACACTGAATCAAGTATACAAAAATACATGTAGCTTATCAAAATGTTCTTTGCTTAATAAGCTTGGTACTTAGTTATGAAACTAGAGTAAATTTGAAAATAACATAAAATACAACCAGTCGAACAATACATTCAAAACTGACATGACACAAGACCAATACAAGAACATGTAATTACCTGTCTATGGGACCAGGTTTATGCTGGTCATATGTATCAGTAACTATATGCTTATTCAGTCTACTAAATATAATCTGAAAAATATAAAGTAATAACAATTTTACCTCTATGAACCAGGGCTTCCAAAACGGTTGTATGTTCCGGACAAGTCCGATAGATTATATAAATGACTTCTTGTGCCGAGGCTGAAACGGACATTTAAATATAGTTCAGAAAAAAAATTGAAGTTTATGTGATCTTTTTGACCTGACCTTTGGCCTTAAACAGCCACACATTTCCGGTCATATAAGTGACATGATTAATAATAACTATCAAAACAAACTCTACTATAATACCCTCTCATTACAGTCGAGGTTAATTAGTTCTCTGACAGCTGATTTTACCTGTTTAGGCGACAGGTAAACTATTTTGTACCAGACATTGATCGGTCTATTAATAGTTATTTTCTTAAATTTCAGCGGTTTGCATCTAATTAATTTAGTCAACAAGATTCAGATTACCAGAAAACGTATATTAATATCATTTGATGAAAATTTAAAAAGATAGTAATAAAGGTTTTAATTGAAAAATCGTCAGAACCACGTTGTTTGAACTAGTACACTCGTGCGCATGTGCGCAGGTGAGATTAACTTATGCATCCAAATTTTCAAAAATACTAAAAATATCATTGACACCTTTATCTAAAGTTCATTTCGAGTCTTTTCCTGTAGAAATAACGGAAAGAGATACTTAAACTCAATCGTGCTTTGTAAACATACACAGATTTTACGTATCCATCTCTGGTCCGTGTTTTAACATTGTCAAGTCAAGGTCCGGTAATAGGAAAAGTACTTTTCAAAAACAAAAGTGGAGTTATTGACAGCGTAATTTTGCACAATTAAAGAGCCTTAGGCAGATATAAGTACGCTGATTTTGCACACTTCGAATGGTGCACTCAATTAAACAGTTAACGCCAGAACATCAAATTTGTATAAAAAATCAAGTCTGAACAAATACCGATTTTGTGTCAATCAGAATTTATATGATGCCCAACTGATTACTATGGTTGCCTTTTATTTCTAAGTCTTAAGGGATTAAAATCGGGAAAAGACAAAAAAAAAAAAAAAATGTCCGGCTGGCTCAAATATTTTTTGGAAGCCCTGCTATGAACAATAAAAACAATTATAAATGTCTGAATCTTTAAAATCATGAAATTATATGTTGAAGCTACAGAACACAACACTTTATCAGTTATTCAAATAAAAGTTCTAATTATTATACTTGCAGTAAATCCCAATTACAAGAATACTACTTTAAATTATTATCTAACAATGAATACCATAATGTAACAAAAGACACACATTTTTCATAAATCTATCACTCATGCTCTTTCACACAAAAATGGGTAAAAACTGGGAAAAAGGTAATAAGGAAGAATATCTACCTTATAACTATAGATCTGTCACAAGAATATAAAATCTACAATATCTTCAAACTCTATGAGTACAAAATATGTCTAAACTATCTGAAGACAAAGAATCCACTGGCAACAATATAGATTTAGGCGGGAAAACTATTCCCAACCAGAAAACAAAGGAGTCCAGGAATATCCAACCAATAGAAAGACTCAAACAAGACACACATTAAACTACTCACAAATCATTTGACCATAACACATCTGAAAAATTCCTAAATCCAATGTATATAAAGATCAAATCATAGCCTGAAGACAAAATCAGTACTTTTGTCAAGTAGATGAATAATATGTATTCTTTTAATCAAAAGAGAAATGTATCAATCAAATAACTTTAAAATATAGTTTTCTTCAAATATTAAATATTCATAAGTAATAAAGCATATTTTATAAATTTTATAAATGTATTATAAAATATGAGAAATACACATTATCACATATTTATAAATGAATTGAAAAACCATTACAGGTAGCTCTTTTGAGAGAAAAAAAACCCGATAGAATGAATACTTTATTCAAACGATTATATTTGGAGTGATATTAAAAATATATAGATAGATTATACTACATGTACATTTGTACAAAGATAAATGATATTTATAAAGATAGATGTTAATTATTAATAATGTGAGTTTTTTTTTCTCATTTGCTTTTTCCCCGACAAATGAGCATGTAAAAATCGGGGACCCCATTGTTGCTTCCCTGGGCAACATAGGGTTGATGTAACAGGTGATTATTAATAAAATATGTTTAAAATTTAAAAAAAAAAACAAAACAAAACCATTGGAATTGTAAGGGCATCTAATTCTCATTACGAAAGAAGACAATGAATAAAGACAACAATTTATTTAGAAATAGGTTCTTTTTATTTAGAAAAAAACAACGTTTTCTTGTCTGCAAGACGTAATTGCTTAACTTCTGGGTTCATTTCCCGTCAGAATAACATTGAGAATATCCTATTGTTCACTGTTTTGACAGAATTTTCACGAATATTTTTATCGGATTTGACGATATATTCTTTTCTCTGATTTTTACTTGATGTATACCTTTCTTGACTGGTTGATTACTTTTTATAAAAGAAAAAAAGAAAAAAGGTGACAATACCTGATGATATCACATATAAAGAACACATATTTTTGCAGATCATTGCAAAAGCAAGATAAAGTTTGGCTGCAAACCATTCTATAAATCATTAGAGAAACAGATCCCACCAACGAATCTCGAGCAATACTATATTTCTCCACTCTCGACAGTTAAAGGAGTAGGATCGATAAAGCCCTAAAATGGCCCCTATTTTTAGCTAAAATTTTAAATTGGGATTCATTGACCAATATCACAATGAATCATAGCTATTACAGTGACTAGATGGGAAATATGTCTTTTTGTTGAAAATTAATGTACTGGTATTTGCCTTCTATTCATGATGTCACAATAGCACTCATTTTTGATTTCCATGAAATTTCAATGAAATGGGGTAAATTTGCATCGATTTTTGGACAAGAAACATAGAGCTCATATGTCTTTAAAAAAGATATTTTCAAATAATGTTAGTAATGACATTTTACATGTCTGAATTTAATATTTTGTTTGTCAATGCCTGTGCTCTGTGTTTCCTAGGCCTTAATTTGGTTGAAATCTGGCTGATTTTGTCAAATTTCGCAAAAATCTCTATTTTGAACCTATTTTGATTGTAAAAATCAAGGCTTAATAATAAAACTTTAACAAAAATAGTTCTATATAACTTTGTCACATGTCTTTTGATCAACTTAAAACATTTTTAATCTTGAAACATTGAACTTAATAATCGGGGCTCTTGCCAAATTTACTCCTTTTAACTATTTAAAAAGTTTGGCAAGCCTTGACTTTTAGATATGTATATTTAACTGTCTGGAGTTGTGAAATATTGTATTACCATTGATGCAATTGATATTATTATATAGATAAAATTTACATCAAACATACAGGATTAGGTTCAGTGTTTTGAAATAATTTTACTATAGCCAATGGTTCATTCCCTCTATTCCCACTTTTTATAAATCTGGTAAGAAAAGTTAATATTTCATGTGGGAATAGGGGGAAAACTTGTGCAAACAAAGGATTATACTGTACAAACATTTTTTAATCAACTGTTAATTGACCAGTGTTTTTTTTTATTAGGACAGGTAATAAGTTATTTTTGCATCTGTATGAATTCTGTTTTTTTTTAAACAAAATAAATATGAAAGAAATTAAAATATATAATTTCTTTTATAACACAAATTCAACTGTAGATTCAAGCAAGCATAATATAACATAAATTATACAACAGCACTAAATCAAATCACACATTCTAGCACATACATTAGACAATCACTGTATACAAGTCTATTAAAGTTTATCAATCTATTCCACGTGAACAAGGTGGGAGGCTGCATCACCAAACTCTAACTCAGTCAATTAAAATTAATCAAATCTGATTGCTCATGCTTTGAAGTAAAGTGATTTCACCCATTATTTTACATCTTTGATTATTGGTCCAAGTAATTATATTTTTAGAGTATACTTTTGTTCCACATCTTAATATTATACTTGGTTATAATATTATTTTATATCATGATTTATTTGTACAGCAGACAATTCTTTAAGGTTATAAATTCAAAAATTTTAAAATAAATCTTACTCCAATCTATTTATCATAATTATTCTTTATTTTTAAATATATCTTTGACGAAAAAAGAGTAAAACTAGGTATTATACATAAACAGTGTACCAAATATGTTATGTTTAAAAAAAAATACAGGTAAATCTTAGGTGAAAATTCTAATTAACCTTGATTGTTATAAAAACAAATTATTTATCAAAACATCTATTGTTATTTGCATGTGGGAATTGAAGGAATAGTATTTTTAAAAAGTGGGAATAGGAGGAAGACACCATAGCCAATATATTCATTTAACCGATATCTGATTAGATGGAGTCTACTGTATATAAAAAAATATTGCTTTATTAAAAATTGTTGTAAATTTTATCCACCTATTAATAACTTGAACTAATATATTCCTTACAATTTCAGTGTGATGCCTGCAATGGCATTTTCACCACGGTACATGATGAGTCATGGGGATGATCAAATTAAAAAGAAATTACAAGGTATGTTTTACCAACGGTAGAATAGGACCTCATTTGTACTATTTTTGTCTTCTTTAAAAGTTTAAAATTGGAATCTTATTCAGTCAGTGGTGCAACTGAAAACGGTACTCTTTAAATAATGTGACTGATATTTCTCCTCTGAAGTACTATCATCCTGAACATGCATGTAATATTTGCCACTGGACATTAAGCAAACCAACAATCAATCAATCTTTGAATTACTATGAAATATCCATGTATAAAGTATCTCATTATATTGTAAGTTACCAATGAACTCATTCTTTTGAAGCTGAAGCTCAGAAGATGGAGAAGATTTCATTACAACATGTTCAAGATTTGATTCATCAAGTAGAAGAGGTTTTAGGACTGTTAAAAGTTTTATGTGATCATCCATTCCATCATGTAGCTGCAGCATTATCTAAAGTAATTTACTGCTAATTGATTGCTAGGTTTTACTACTGTATTTTAATTACTCCATTATTAATAGAAGCTGACCTATCATGATTATAACTTATCCTGTCATTTTCTTCTACATTTGTTTTTGATAAGAAAAAAGGAGATGTGTGATCACCGTTTCACCCAAGACCAAAGGAAAAGGATGTTAACAAATACTGGTCTCTGTACAGCCTTAACCGCATCGGTGGTATCGTGGTAGTGTGTTCACCTTGAGTGCAGGAGGTCGTTAATTTGAACTCTGGCCGGGTTAAACCAAAGACTTGAAAATTTGTATTTTCTGCTTCTCCACTAAGCATAAAGCATTAAGGAGTAAGAGCAAAGACTGGTCGGCTCGGAGTCAGAATAATGTGTCAGGGTAAGGTGACATGTCTTCCTGCAGACTGTTACCTTGTGAACTAGCACGATAAAAATCCGGCTCAGCATGTCGGTCTAGTACAAAGCAGAGTTAATATTCATATTACATAAACATGTTCTCGACCTAAATATGCATATTAATTTGCTGCTGGACGTTGAGCAGCCATCCATCATCATCATCTGTACAGCCTTTAAACAATGACCAAACCCTATAATGTATAGTAAGCTATAAAAGGGCCTGTCTATTGTTGTGACTCTTATATTGCACAGTTGTAAAGAGACATGGACATTTTGCTACAGCATGGCAATCTTGTTGTCATTTTGTTATAAAACTGAACAGGACTTAAAAAAATTCAAATCATGATGTCCAATCGATGATATGTGAGTATATAAGTTATGTGAATAGAAGTATTAATTTAAAGTAGTTCATCAATAAATTACTAAAATAACTTCTGTGATATGTAAGATGATCTTATGAAACTGGAATGATTAAGGTATAAACTTCTAAAAATCTGTTGGGTTAGTATATTTTTAAGTTGAACATTGTAACATATTGAAAACTTTACTTAATATTTATATTTTGTTATTAAAGGATCAACAGAATCAGCTAAGAACAATGACATTGAAGCAGATGGTTGTAACTGGGAAAGAGGTATCTAAAAGATTCTAAAAAAAATAATTTAATCACAACTTAAATATAGACTTCAGAAAGTCTAGAGCTAAACATGTTAAATAGACATTTTTGTATTGTTGACTCTATGTTGCCATCTAGATGTCTGGTGTTTATGTTGCCATCTAGATGTCTGGTGTTTATGTTGCCATCTATATGTCTGGTGTTTATGTTGCCATCTAGATGTCTGGTGCTTGTGTTGCCATCTAGATGTCTGGTGTTTATGTTGCCATCTAGATGTCTGGTGTTTATGTTGCCATCCAGATGTCTGGTGCTTATGTTGCCATCTAGATGTCTGGTGTTTATGCTGCCATCTAGATTTGTGGTGATTATGTTGCCATCTAGATGACTGGTGCTTATGTTGCCATCTAGATGTCTGGTGTTTATGTTGCCATCTAGATGTCTGGTGCTGATGTTGCCATCTAGATGTCTGAAGCTTATGTTGCCATTTAGATGTCTGGTGCTTATGTTGTCATCTAGATGTCTGGTGCTTATGTTGCCATTTAGTGCTTATGTTGCCATCTAGTTGTCTGGTGCTTATGTTGCCATCTAGATGTCTGGTGCTTATGTTGCCATTTAGTGCTTGTGTTGCCATCTAGATGTCTGGTGTTTATGTTGCCATCTAGATGTTTGGTGTTTATGTTGCCATCCAGATGTCTGGTGCTTATATTGCCATCTAGATGTCTGGTGTTTATGTTGCCATCTAGATTTGTGGTGATTATGTTGCCATCTAGATGACTGGTGCTTATGTTGCCATCTAGATGTCTGGTGTTTGTGTTGCCATCTAGATGTCTGGTGCTGATGTTGCCATCTAGATGTCTGAAGCTTATGTTGCCATTTAGATGTCTGGTGCTTATGTTGTCATCTAGATGTCTGGTGCTTATGTTGCCATCTAGATGTCTGGTGCTTATGTTGCCATTTAGTGCTTATGTTGCCATCTAGATGACTGGTGCTTATGTTGCCATCTAGATGTCTGGTGTTTATGTTGCCATCTAGATGTCTGGTGCTGATGTTGCCATCTAGATGTCTGAAGCTTATGTTGCCATTTAGATGTCTGGTGCTTATGTTGTCATCTAGATGGCTGGTGCTTATGTTGCCATTTAGTGCTTATGTTGCCATCTAGATGTCTGGTGCTTATGTTGCCATTTAGTGCTTATGTTGCCATCTAGATGTCTGGTGCTTATGTTGCCATTTAGTGCTTATGTTGCCAACTAGGTGTCTGGTGTTAGATTGTTATCTCATTGACACATACCCCATATCTCCTTTTGATCTTGTAAAAGTATATATAAATGCACAAATGTGAAGAATGGTATCTAGACAGTCATATATTTATCTCTAAATAATGACAGATTAAGATCAGCAACTTATAATTTCAAATCTTAGAAGAAGAAGAAGAAAAGTAATACATTTATTATCAGCAAAAGAAGAATATAATATTTTTTCTAAATCCATGAAGCATTTCAAAAAGCCATGGTATCAAAATTGTAATTAGACTGAAATTGAAACATTGCAGTCAGTTTTATAAGTTTGAAAAGATCAAATAATTTGATGTTTTACAAATCCATGTATCTTCATGCTACATAGCCTTCTATTGAAGGAAGACATGTTCACTTATTGTGTATTTTAATTTCAGATGTGCACATCACTGATAACAAGTTTAATCAACATATATTTAAATGACAATGCTAGTATAGATTTGGTCAATGCCAGACTTAGAGAAGTCTGTCCTACATTGTATAGCTCTGATGATGCTACTTGTTCCAAGGTAAGGAGTATGTCTAACCAAATCTAATTTTATTAGGTTAGGTGAATGCAAGTTTGTAGCATTTTGGGAAAATACAAAGCTAAAAGAATTGCTTTAAAAATGCTGATGAGTTTAATTTTATACATATCAATGAGTAGGAACCCTAAAGTTTTTCAAAAAGAATTTGTTATTTATCACTTACCTGTTTATGGAAACTTTAAGAATGTGATATGAAAAGGGAAATCTTTGCCAAATTAAAAAAAACGTGTGAAAAAACAATTAGAGATACATGTAGAAACTTTCTTAAGCATCTCTTAATATTTATATGAAATATTTTCTTTTTCAGGCCAATGAATTACTACAGGCAGCTAGAGTAAATCAAAATCAGACAGAAAAAAGAAAACAGCTGTTAGAATCACTGAAGGTAAATAATAGCTAACATAGAATATTTTAAAAAGATGTGGATTTTGTATGATCAGAATTCAATTTTAGAACATGTTTAATTAAGAAATAATTCATGACAGCCATAGATTTGTTTTCATTTAACCATGGGTTGGGCATTTATATCTGATTATTTTATCCTGAGCGATAATAGGACAAATACGGTAATTTTGTCAACCTTGAAAGCCCTATACTCACGATACTGTTTTGGCTGTTCCGTTTTACTGCCCATATAATAATATTAATTATATTATATTATTCAAACATAAATTAAAAAAACTCACATTTTTCAACTAAAAGTGTTCTTCTTATCTTTATTTATTACATTCTGAGCGTACAAGAAGCCTGAAAACGCTCGGTGTTTACATTTGACGACGGAAGCATACATATGACTTCACCTTGTTTAGTTGCCAAAGATGATAACATCATTTTGCGGAATAACTGAAATGGACTGATTTGTTTATTATACATTAGAATAGAGATGGCCCTATTGCATTTGAAGGTTTACCTACGTAGAACGTGGGTTGTACTGTTAAAAATTGAGTTTTCCTGGTGGTATAAAAAAAGATGGGCATAATGGGGAACAGCCAATTTTGTGTGTTAATGTGTCTGTGCTTAAAGTAGATATACTGTGATTATACTGGTTGACGATATATGGGTTGTCATATTAGAATTAGGAAATATATTTCTTTATAAGAGGTTTCTTTAAAAATACAATACACAACAAAATAATAAATTGACAAAGGGACTGAGAAAGTCATGGAAAAAAGAAAATAGAATACTATTAATGGATACCTGAATCATCTTACTCCAAATAAAAAAAAGTAAGAGCTCTAGCATGTAGAACTTAAATTTTAATGGGAAAAATAAGGATTTTTTTTTATAGTTCACAGGTTGTAATTTGAAATTAAAGAATTGCATTATATTTTCTGGTCTTATTTTGCTGTTGAGTTGTGTTTCAAGTTTATTAATTTTGTATAAAAGAAAAAATGTAAGATTTCATTATTGATGTTTTGTTTTGAAGTTGTACAAAGAAGTCACCCAACCTCTACAGCTTCCAGGTGTATGTAATTCATTTGCAACAGTACATTTCTTTGAGGGGATTGTTGACCTTTGTTTGACCTTGTCTACTAAACGAGACCCACAGCAGTTAGCGTTACATTACTATCGTAGTGGAGAACCACAAGAGGATCTTCAAGGGATGACAGCACATTTGGCAAGGTACAAAAATGTATATTCCTATCCAAATTAAGAAAGTTATTGCTTAAAAAATGTTAAGGTTACATGTGTGTTTCTCTTCAGTCATTTTACTGTACAGATTAACCTATCTTTTTCAAAATCTTTCATAGCAATTTGGAGTAGAAAAAACATGCTTTAATACTATGTCGAAAAACAATGTGTGATCATTATGAGAAATTTTTTGATATTTTTACTATGCAAGCCTTGCAGAGGAGCAAAGTTATTATATTTATTCAATATGTGAAATTACCTGTTTTTCATTTACTGGGAAATCAAAGTATTTTATTTCAACCAATGTCATAATATTGAAATGGTTAGCAAACATATTGTTATATCAAATTTTCATTTCAATTCTATCTATTGTATCAAAAAAATAATATGAAAAATTTAATGATAATCATTGTTTATTTACAGAATGGAATGTTACAACTGTATAACAGACACTCTTGGATACCTGATGTCTGCCAGTGTTTCCCATCCTCAGGCACCAAGTATACCTAAAGGTCCAGGACCCCCTCCAACACCAGATCCAAGTATACTAAATGCAGCTGATGCTGAAAAATATGTAAGGATAAAGATACCAAAAAACTGTTTAGTTAATAATGATGTTCATGATTGTTGTCCAGGCTCCATAATCAATGTAAACATGTCAGATAGTCCTTTAAGCAACATTAACTTTGGTTTCATTTCTTTACTCTTCTATATTTTGTTTTATTTAGAACAGTTTGAAGTCAGTTGAAATGGTACTTGCACTGTATAATTGCAAGAGAATATTTTAAGGAGCACAAACAGATGTAATTCACAATATTAGGCACTCTGTCATCCTTGGAATCCACTAAGAATTTCTGTGATTTTGTTTCACCTGGTAGGAATGTCACAAAATGCAAGACATCGGATAACTATCTAACGATGGTTACAACACAGGTATCTTTGTATACCCCTGCTCTGAAAGATAGGGTATACTAGTTAACATGTGCCGATCCATTCCGTAAAATTTTGGTCGCTTGCTTCTCAGGAACTAGAAATCATGACTTCCTGAAATATAGTATCAAGTTTCATGTGAGCTTGCTATTCTGTGTGATGTATTTTCAGATTTATCTCTCGTCCACGTCCTGTTTACCGAATACTACATAATGACCATGTATAATATTTGAGTCATATATTTTTCTCAGGAACTACAAATACTGGCTTTCTGAAATTTGGAATGAACCTTTATGTGAGCATGTCATACATACCATGTGATGTATTTTACATCCATCATTCATTAACTTATTGTTAAGCCAATAATTATAGGGAAGGCATCATTAGTGAGTAATAGCTCCCAGTTCCACTTGCTGTATAAAACTTCATATTTCGGTAGAAGAGCTGGATAAGTCATATTTTGTTTACAGATGCCTAATATTCTGAAGCTTTCATCAGGCATATTTAAGTTGTCCTTAACATTATTTTCATGCTTAAATTACTGCATAAAAACTTCATAAGGTTTTTCTAATCAATTTTCATGCCCCATTTATGAGTATTATGTTTTTCGGTCTGTGCGTTCGTTCGTTCGTCCGTACGTCCGTTCATCCCACTTCAGGTTAAGGTTTTTGATCAAGGTAGTTTTTAATGAAGTTTCAGTCCAATCAACTTGAAACTTAGTACACATGTTCCCTATGATATGATCTTTCTAATTTTAATGCCAAATTAGAGTTTTGACCCCAATTTCACGGTCCACTGAACATAGAAAATGATAGTGCGAGTGGGGCATCCGTGTACTATGGACACTTTCTTGTCTTTTAAACTTGTTTTAAGTTAAAGGATAACTATATTTGGTATAAAGAATCATTCTAAGGTGAACTGTCTATCTGACAGGATTCATCTGAAATTGACCTTATTTTCATGGTTCAGTAATAATATTAAATTTTTGTGATTGGGTAAGATTCTTAGATACAATAAGTAATTGGTCAACTATATTTGGTGTATTGAATGATGGTAGAATAGAGAATGGAAAAGGGCAATGTGTCAAAGAGACAGCAACCCGACCAAAGAGCAGAAAACAGCCTATGGCCACCATGGGTCTTCAATGCAGTGAGAAAATTCTGCACCTGCAGGCGTGTAACAATAATGAATACTAGTTCTGCGAAATGGATGCCACCATAAAGTCTGAAACATACAAATGAAACAAAATTTTTAAAAATCCCACAAGACTAACAAAGGCTAGAGGTTCCTTACTTGGGACAAGTGCAAAAATGTGGCGGGTTAAACATGTTTTGTGAGATCTCAACCCTCTCCCTATATCTCTAGTATATGTCTGTCTTACACAATTCATCTGATCTTGACTTCATGTCATGGTGCGAGTACACAGTTATCGTCCTTTGATTTTCGTTGTCCACAAATGTAGTCCCTAGTGTGGACAGTGTGTTACTTGCCATTTTTTTTTATACCCCTTCCAAATTTATTTCTCCATGTTTTATGACTCAAATAGCAAGTAGGGGGGTGAAATGACACTGTAAAAAAATTTGGGTCATGAATTTTAAAGTAAAGTAGTGATTTGGTCCAGCTGAAAAATGTTAAAAATTAGCACTTCGGAAGCTGTCAAAAGATTAGAAGACCCCCTTAACATAAAATTGTCCATATTTTGAGTTAGAGCCGATGAAGTTTTCTATAATTTTGATATAATTTGTCCCAAAAGTAGTACAACACACTGTAAAAATATTATTGAGAAAGCGCAGGTGGGATTTTTTTAATTTTCATTTATTGTCTAAAAGAAATGCACTACGAAATAACTGTGTACTCGGACCTAAGAGGTGAAATCAGGAAATATAGAATCTGTACTTTGGCAATTTCCCTGAATGATTTGATGGTGTCAATTTGTCAAATAGCATAAAACTAAAGGATTTAAACTTTTATTTGATAGAATTTCTGCAAAAATGACCAATTTGGGCATATTATGGTCAAAATAAGCATTTCATAGCTTTTTCAATTTTGAGGCATAAGTGGCATTCTGACTTTCTATCTGACAGGTTTTTATGTGTCAATATTTGTGTTTCTATGCTTCAATCCAGTTGTATTACTCATTTGTGAACTCTGAATCTACAGAAAAGAAGATTATCTCAGACAATATGTACAAAATGTGTTGTATATATGACCCTCGTCTAACGCCCTGTTTGGATCAAGTTAAATGTGAGGAGCTTGGAACACAAAAGTTGAAGTCCATAATAAAGACCTCACTAAATTTGTATAAAAAGCACTTAACAATGTCTTTTGTACCTGTTTCATGTCACATAATATCTTTCTTTTCTTCTGTAGGATAGCAAGTGGTTCAAATATAAGCTTGTTGCGACTAAAATTGCATGCATGTTCTTCACTAAAAAGTGAAAAATCTTTGTATCAGACCATACTGTCAGCAAAAAAAGTTGAATGCAAGAGTCTTTTTGTGCTCAGATTTATTGTAACATGTCACCTGAGTATAGAAATGATAGAAAAGACACAAATTTTTATTTCCTATAGCTTCAATATGCATTTTTATATGTAAATATGTGCTACGGCCTAAATTGACCCTAAATTATTTTCAGTCTTACTTGGCCTAAGACCCTTTTAAACTAATATGATATGTTATTTGTGAGTTTTCTTTCCATTTACAGTACATTAAATACATATATAAGGATTATTTATAACCAAAAAGCTTTACAAATTTAAAATTGCTGGAAAATATTACATCTTCATGTAAGGCCCCCCTTCATTGGAAAACCTCCATTTTTAGGCACAGGCTCATATAAATTTGACTTTTTAATAATTATGATAAGTCTGATAAATGAAATGAGTACTCAATTGCTTTTAATACATAATATTTTATATATTAAGGCATTTCAAAAGTATTTTTTTGCAATATTTAAATTTTTTAAGCCCCAAATGTTGATAGTTGAAATTTTTCAATTTTAACGTCTACATTTAACACGCAAAGTTGAATATAGAATTAGTCCTATTGTCTATAATATATATCCTATTGCCATGAAACTTTGTAGGCAGTCTTATAATTTATTAAGCTTTGGTCATACCAAGTTTCATTAAGATTGGTCAACTTTTTCTACCCTATTAGGTCCGAGTACACAGTTATCGTCCTTTGATTTTCGTTGTCCACAAATGTAGTCCCTAGTGTGGACAGTGTGTTACTTGCCATTTTTTTTTATACCCCTTCCAAATTTATTTCTCCATGTTTTATGACTCAAATAGCAAGTAGGGGGGTGAAATGACACTGTAAAAAAATTTGGGTCATGAATTTTAAAGTAAAGTAGTGATTTGGTCCAGCTGAAAAATGTTAAAAATTAGCACTTCGGAAGCTGTCAAAAGATTAGAAGACCCCCTTAACATAAAATTGTCCATATTTTGAGTTAGAGCCGATGAAGTTTTCTATAATTTTGATATAATTTGTCCCAAAAGTAGTACAACACACTGTAAAAATATTATTGAGAAAGCGCAGGTGGGATTTTTTTAATTTTCATTTATTGTCTAAAAGAAATGCACTACGAAATAACTGTGTACTCGGACCTCATGGTTTATTGATTAATGTTATATTTTTGTGTTCACAAAAGATTATATGATACCATATGAATAACTTTTGTTTTATTTGTTGTATAGAATGATTGTAAGGTGGATATGTCCATCCAACAGGGTTGATCTGACCTCACTTTCAAAGATCATTGATGATTTAAATTTTTGTGAAACCTGTAGTATGACCATGATCTCAAAGACATTGAAGCAGATGCACTCATCTAAGTTTTTTTTATGAAAAATAGATGCCTGGGTATTTTTGTTTTACAGAAATCAGATGTTTTCACATTGGCATTACGGTCTAAAGATGAACTGTTCCATGTTGCTTTATATGATTGGTTATGCAATGGTAACATGACAGAAAAACTATTAGAGGTAGGTACTTAATACATACAGAGCTTACCTTATAATGTGTTTACTTTTCCATCATTGAAGTCAATATAATGATCTTGATATTTTCTGTTTTTAGTGAACATGGGATTTTGGTTAACATTTTTCCTAATTTGACTGCTGATCTTTGTTCTGGAAGACAGGTGTGTGTTTGATGCATATGGTACATTGTTTAACCATATAGTAAAGTAATAGCACATTTTTGTTCTTCTATTTGTAGGTCTTAGCACTGAGCTTTAGATCTTAAAACTTACAACAAAGTAATGACAAACCTAGCATCTTCTGATTTAAATTATATGATATTCATCAAGGATTAGTGTATTGCTTAAGTCTAAACACTAAATTACATTAAAGAAATGGTGAAGCCTTCCTGCAGATAACCTTACAATGAACATTATATTTCCATGTTCTTCTGATAAAAAGACATCAACTTATTCCCTGACGCAGAAATATTCCTACAAATACTTTTATTTATCAAGAGAGATTGATCATACGGTAAGGAGGTATACATGACAATTTGTTAATAGTTTTTGATAATATAAAACTTTTTAAATTACTAGGTGCAGTCTCCTTTCCTTGAAAGCTACCTGAAGAGAAAAGCAGGGTACCAGGGAGAAGCCGTACAAGCATTGGATATGTTATGGAAGTATTATGAGAAGCTAAGAAACTTTCCAGCGGCAGCAAAAATATTGTCAAAATTAGCAGAAAGACATGGGTAAGTGATATTCAATTGTTTAAAACCATATCTTGCACAGGTTTATACTTATGTTATGTATGTTGTTGATTAGTATCCTTTTTCAGTTAGTTTTATTTGGATATAAAATCAATAAATATATTATGCAGATGAAAATTAAAAACAAAAAATGAAAATATCATTTTTGTCGAGGCAGCGACTCCTGTTGCAGAAGGCTCGACATAGGGATAGTGATACGGCGGTGGCAGCTTAACTAACTTCTTAGAAGATTAATATTTCAGAAGGTAGAAGACCTGGATGCTTCATACTTTGTATGTAGATGCCTTATCATATAAAGTTTCAGTCTGTCATATATCTATTGTCCGTGACCTCATTTTCATGGTTCAGTGACTACTTGGAAAAACAAGTTAATATTTTTTGTAATGGTAATTCCTCTCTTTTATGAGTAATAGGATAACTATATTTGGTATTGGCGTACCTTGCAAGGTCCTCATACCTGTCAGACAGTTTTCACTTGACCTCGACCTCATTTCATGAATCAGTAAACAAGGTTAAGTTTTTGTGGTCAAGTCCATATCTCAGAACTATAAGCAATATGTGTACTGTATTTGGTGTATGTAATGATTGTAATTTGTACATGTCCAACTGGCAGGTGTCATCTGACCTTGACCTCATTTTCATGGTTCAGTGGTAAAAGTTAAGTTTTTGTGTTTTGGTCTGTTTTTCTAATACTGTATGCAATAGGTCAACTTTATTTGGTGTATGGAAATATTTTACGATGTACATGTCAGTCTGGCAGGTTTTATTTGACCATGACCTCATTTTCACGGTCCATTTGCTCAATGTTAAGTTTTTGTGTTTTGGTCTGTTTTTCTTAAACTTTAAGCAATAGGTCAACTATATTTGGTGTATGGAATGATTGTAAGGTATATATGTCTGTCTTGCAGGTATCATCTGACCTTCACCTCATTTTCACAGTTCATTGGTCAATGTTCAGTTTTCCTGGTTAACTTTGTTTCTTAGATAATATAAGCAATAGGTCAACTATATTTGATGCATGTAATGATTTTAAGGTGTACATGTCTGTCTGGCAGGGTTCATCTGACCTTGACCTCATTTTCATGGTTCATTGGTCAATATAAAATTTCCATGGTTTGGTCTGTTTCTTTTATACTATAAGTGTAACAGCCACTATGTTCCGTCAGTTACTTTGTTCTGGCGGAACTTTTCAACTAGTTATTTCGTTCCGATGGAACTTTCCAACTAGTTGTTTTATTCCGAGTGCAGTCGAGAAGTTCCGGAAAAAAGTAGCTAGTCGAAAAGTCCCGGAACAATGTAGCTAGTTGAATAGTTCTGGCGGAACAGAACAACTAGTTACATCGTTCCGAATATACCATATTTCGTCCTTTTTGTAGAAAGAGGGGGAAGAATGAGTATCAGTATATATAAGAGCAAATCATTAATTTACAAGAATACCCAACGCACTGAAAGGGGTTTCTTTGGGGACAAATATGCAAAATTTAAGTTGTATTTCATAGCTCACATAAAACGGATTAAGTTGCATTATCATGCAAATTTAGTATTCATAGTAACCTCAAGAGAGGGAAGAATACCCCCCCCCCCCCCCCCCCCCCCCCCCCCCCCTCCCCCCTTGTGGTTCTTTGCATCAATTCTCCAAATGGAACTTTGTGACTGGTTGATAAGTTCCGTTGGAACTTTTGGGCTAGTTTGTTAGTTCTGGTTTTGACTTATTTGCCAAAGAGGAACTTTGTGGCTAGTTGATAAGTTCCTTTTGACTTTTGTAATCAGTATCTTGGTTTCCCTTTGAAAGGTTCAAATATAATATGTTGCGCTTTAACTTTGCATCAATTCTCCAAATGGAACTTTCTGCCTGGTTGATAAGTTCCGTTGGAACTTTTGGGCTAGTTTGTTAGTTCCGGTTTTGACTAATTTGGCAAAAAGGAACTTTCTAACTAGTTGATATGTTGCGTTGGAACTTTTCAACTAGTCACTTTGTTCCGGTGGAACTTTTAAACCAGAGGAAGAACAAAGTAACTAGTTAATAAGTTCCTCAGGAACTTTTCAGCTAGTTAGTTCTTTCCGCCCGGAACTTTCCAACGTCGGAACAAAAGAGCATTTACATAAGCAATAGGTCACCTATATTCAGTGTATGGAATGATTGTATTACAGTTGTACATGTATTTCCGGCTTGGTTTATCTGACCTTGACCTCATTTTCTTGGATCATAAATGTTAATGTGATACTTGTAGTAAAACTTTATATTTAGGACTATCAACATAAAATCAATGGTCAGTATAGTAGGCGAGACATTTCAGCGTGTGCACTCTTGTATAAATTTGATCAGTTTGAAGTGCTTTTCTGGATTTATCTTCAGAAATGAATGCTCAAACCCTAAAATCTAAAGCCAATGGTATGACCAAAAGAGTGATGCTATTCATTTAACAATATGAAATTTGTCTCTATAGTACTAGGGTACATTGTGTAGCTTTTTGTATTTTCTACTTTAGAAATGATGTTCGTCTACAACAAAGAATAGAATATTTGTCTCGTGCAATTATGTGTGCCAAAAGTTCTACCACTCATATCAGCTCAGCAGCAGATGGTGAATTTCTGCATGAATTGGAAGAAAAGATGGAGGTTGCTAGGTTACAATTACAAGTACAGAAAGCTTTGAGTAAACTTTCATCTAGTAGAATGGAATGTCAGGAGGCATTAAATCGTCTGGATTCAGACCTGCTTGATTTGACAATAGTAAGTGCCTTATTTATATGTGGTTAAAGTTAACAAACTGTCTTCCTAAATAATAAATTGTCCACCAATTTTTAGCGGAGAAGAATTCTGCCAGAACTTCGTGTTTCTTTCCTCTGCAGTTAGTTTTCTAAAGAAATTAAACGCTTCAATAATTTTTAAATGTTCAGAACTTCATCAAATATTCTTTATACTAATATGTAACTTCTTCACTGTAGTAAGTTTATATGAATTAAGATTATAAAATTTGTCATACATGGACAAAAAGGAGTTACAATAAATCAAATATTTATAGTGTTTACACGCTTATAGATGTTAATTAACTTTATTTATGCAATACTGTGGATGCATTATTATTCGTGGGGTACCAATTTTTGTGGACTTCCTGGATATAGGCAAACCACAAATTTAAATGTTCAACAAAGAATAAATTTTCTATAGACTTGTATAGAATTTGCAAATCCAAAAAATCAAATATCCACAAAAATACCTTTTTATACGCCCGTTTACATGACATTATTACGGTATACCGTTGTCCGTCTGTCCGTCGTCAACAAATTGGACAATAATTGAAAAAGGCTTTAAAGGGGCACTAGCTACGAGATATAATAAAATTATAAAATATGATTTTTTTTGTTCAATCATTAATGAAAGTGAAATAGTGAAATAATAATTCGCTTTTAGCAGCTACTATTGTCTAATTTTGTCAAAATAAGCAAAGAAATATTGATGATGAATTATTCACTTGCAAGTGAATAATTCGACCTCATTGAATCTGTATTCATGTGAACTTCAATTAAACCCCTAAGCTAGAGATGGAAAACGCATGAATTGTGTGCATGTTTGATTATTTAAAGGAAAAGAATGTCAACATTGAAAGTAAAACAAAGGTTAATCATTTAATTGACTGATTCGATCATCAAAAAAATCATTCTTATACAGGTAAAAATGATGATTAACATATATTTTTAATCTATAAATGAAATTAAATAGACCTAGTAGAATCCATTTGCACGAGTTGCGCTATCTTTTTATATCTTTATTTATGTTTATATACCTTATATGGGCATCGGTGGTTTTCGGGAGGTCAAGTCGACAGTTAATAAGATGGCGTCTAGACTAAAATACACACAAAACGAAGCTACATATTATCCACCCTATGCCCTGTAAATTGTTTATTTTTAGACTTTTTATAATTTGGATAAATGTTTTACATTGTTATACATTAAATATGAGAATTTGAGTCAAATCGGTGAACATGAATTTGACAGCTAGTGCCCCTTTAACCAATTTTCATGAAGACTTTGGTGAATTGTTTATATCTATTGACATAAGCACCATTTTGGTTTTTGTAAATATTAGATTTTACGTTTCTGAGTGGTGGGATTTTATTCATAAAAAAAGGGGGGATTTTATGGTTTTTGGACAATAACTCAAAGATGCTTTGAGCAGTTTTCATGAAACTTTGGTGACTGGTTTATATCTATTAAAATGAACTCCATTTAGTTTTTTTATAAATTTCTGATATGACATTTAGGAGTTAAGGAACCTTATTTGAAAAAGTGACGGGCGTATCATGTGCTCATGGCACAGCTCTTTATTACCTCTGTTTCCCGCTCAACTCTGTTCGTCCGTCTGTCTTTCCGTCCGTCCTTCCAAATGAAAACTTTTGTCAAAGTTTTCTTGGCTTCTATAAATGGAAAAGATTTAATATTTGGTCTTCAACTTGATAATGTTGAGTTGTAGTGAGTAAGCAATTTGTATACGACCGCAAAAATTTTTTGCGGTCGTATATTGGTATGACGTTGGCGTCGTCGTCGTCGTCCGAAGACACATTGGTTTTCGCACTCTAACTTTAGTTTAAGTGAATGGATCTCTTTGAAATTTTACCATAAGGTTCAATACCACAAAAGGAAGGTGGGGATTGATTTTGGGGGTTATGGTACCAACAGTTAAGGAATTAGGGGCCAAAAAGGGCCAAAAATAAGCATTTTCTAGTTTCCAGACAATAACTGTAGAACGGTGTATGGATCTCTCTGAAATTATACTACAAGTTTCCATACCACAAAGGGACGGTTTGGATTTGCTTTGGGGGGTTATGGCTCAAACCGTTTAGGAATTAGGGGCAAAAAAGGGGGAAAAACAAGGTTGTCCTGGTTAATGGACAAATACTTTAGTACAAAACATAATTTAAAGCAGTGTAAGGGAGATAAATCAAATACATCATTGAAATTATCTCCCTTACACTGCATTTAACTTATGTATGAAGTAATGGTTAATGAACAATTAAGATAATTTAAAACAGTGTAAGGGAGGTAATCCAAATACAACGTTTTGGTTACTTCCCTTACACTGCTTTTAAATTATGTTTAAAGAAATGCATATTTATAAAGGAAGACCAGTAAAATTTTCTACAAATGTTGCATCTTTTTTTTTTACAAAAAAATCCATATGAAAGATTTGACACTATATTTTAAATTCTATTATAAAATAGATTAAGTTTGAAATCACTATGGTAAATTTAAATGGGTAATTATGGTTGCAAACTCCATTGGAAATTTGAATTGAGATTATGACCATATCTTGAGGGAAAGAATTTTTTGGGGGAAAAAAGGGGGAGGGGGGTAAAAAGAAATTGTGGGGGGTCAATTTTTTCTCATTTCAGATTTCAGAAATTAAAAAGAATTATTCTTCAAATATTATTTTTTTTTCAAATTTCAAATATTGAAAAATTTCAAGAAGTAATCTTTAATTGCACAGTATGGCGCATTAGATTTGTAAAATCTTTGACCACATTTATTTATTTGTTATGCCGAATCTAACCGTGTATTTAGATTTTTAATTTTGGGTCCAGTTTTCAAATTGGTCTACATTAAGGTCCAAAGGGTCCAAAATTAAACTTTGTTTGATTTTAACAAAAATTGAATATATGGGGTTCTTTGATATGCTGAATCTAAACATGTATTTAGATTTTTGATTTTGGGCCCAGTTTTCAAGTTGGTCAAAATTGGGGTCCAAAATTAAACTTTGTTTGATTTCAACAAAAATTGGATATATGGGGTTCCTTGATATGCTGAATCTAACCATGTATTTAGATTTTTTATTTGTGGACCCCGCTATCAAATTGGTTCATATTGAGGTCAATAGGGCCCAAATTTAAATTCGTTTGATTATATCAAAAATTGAATTATTGGGGTTCTTTGATATGCCAAATCTAACCGTGTTTTTAGATTTTTAATTTTGGGTCCCGTTTTTTAAATTGGTCTACATTAAGGTCCAAAGGGTCCAAAATTAAACTTAGTTTGATTTTAACAAAAATTGAATTCTTGGGGTTCTTTGATATGCTGAATCTAATCATGTATTTAGATTTTTGTTTATGGGCCCAGTTTTCAAGTTGGTCCAAGTTGGGGTCCAAAATTAATCTTTTTGTTTGATTTCAACAAAAATTGAATATATGGGGTTCTTTGATATGCTGAATCTAACCATGTATTTTGATTTTTGGGCCCGTCATCAAATTGGTCCACATTGAGGTCAAAAGGGTCAAAAATTAAACTTTGTTTGATTTCATCAAAAATTGAATTCTTTGGATTCTTTGATATGCTGAATCTAACCATGTATTTTGATTTTGGACATTGGACCATAATAGGTAAATTAAAAAAATTTCTTAGACCACATTCTTTCTGTGTCAGAAACCTATGCTGTGTCAAATATTTAATCACAATCCAAATTCAGAGCTGTATCAAGCTTGAATGTTGTGTCCATACTTGCCCCAACTGTTCAGGGTTCAACCTCTGCGGTCGTATCAAGCTGCGCCCAGTGAAGCATTTTATTACATCTGCCATTTAGCCACTTCCTGTTTGCTGATAGTTTAAAATTTTACAACACTCATTGTACAAGGAAAATTTTCATCAAATTATTCTTGGCTCCAATTGAAGTGAATGATTTTAATATTTGGTCTGGGAATGGTTAGTTCTCCTCTGATAAATATGTTAACTCAATCAATTGCATGCAGCAACACAGGTTTCTTCAATCCACAAAAATAAATGAATTCTCAGTTTATATAGTTTATATAGCTGTAAAAGCAGAAATTTTTCGTGGAGGATTTAATTTCGTTTATTTCGTGGAAAGAATATATCCACGATTTTAAAACCCCCTCGAAAATTTAACCTTAATATAAGATCACTTCCAAATACTGGAAACCACGAAATTAAATCCCCATGAAATCTTATATAGAGACAAAACCACGAAATTTTAACCCCACGAAAATTAATGTTTCTACAGTAGTAGTCCTATGTTAATTTATGTTGATCATTGTCATTTTGCTTAGTTTCTTCTGTTACCTATTCTAATATCGGACTCAGACTTCTTTTAAACTGAGTTTCACTGTGTGTATTGCTGTGTGTTTGTTTGTTCCACATTGGCTAGAGGTATAGGGGAAGGGTTGAGATATCACAAAACATGTTTAACCCTCCACATTTTTGTGCTTGTTCCATGTCAGGAACTTCTGGCCTTTGTTTGTCTTGTATGTTTTTTAAGTTTTGGTTCATTTATATGTTTCAGGGTTTAGTGTGACGTCCATTTTCACTGAACTAGTATACATTATTTAGGGGTCAGCTGAAGCTGAAGGGTGGGATTTTCTTGCTGTATTGAAGACCCATTGGTGGCCTTGGGCTGTTTTCTGCTCTTTGGTCTGGTTGTTGTCTCTTTGACACATTCCCCGTTTCCATTTTCAATTTTACATAATCTTCTGAGGATCAAGTAGATCCCTTTAAAGTAGGGTTAAGTTTGTTGTGCTTTAATGAAGTGAAGTTTAGAGTGAATGAATTAAAAAGAGATATAAAGAAATATTAAATGATTGCACTATTCACATTAATAATTAAATTTGTTTTGTTTACAGTTGTATGAAGACTTTGCAGACAAGTTTGATTTATCTGAATGTAAATTAGCAATAGTCCACTGTGCAGGATTGTATGATGTAGTTCTAGTCGAAAGTTTGTGGAAAGATATTATTGATAAAGGTATTTTTAATTATTTATTTTGATCTTTTACAGTCAAATATAGATTCTTACATTGGTACCAGTGGATTATAGGATTTATCTATCGAGATAGTTAAATTATCAAAATATTAATTATCAAGATTGGATAAATCCGATAATCCATGAGTAAAACTATTTAAGAATCTGTTTCTCTAATGATTATTAAATAAATTTTCATTTTTTATAAATGAAAATCCCCTTGGAGTGCAGTTTCATTGAGATCGGGTTTCTTAATTGCCATTTTGCACTTGTTTTTGTTTTGTAATCCCTTTCCTGTAATAAAACTGCCACTCCAGTATAGTATGATAATCCTGAGGGCCCTCCTAATAACTATATTAATGCCTCTGGGAAATACTGGCTAATGATCACTAATCACTTTTTACCTGTGTTTTTAATTCACACCTGAGTGACATTGATCACAAGCTCAGAACTAATATCATAAAGAAATTAAACTTCCATGACAACTGTCTTCATTATTTAATTACTTTTCAGCAAAGACAATCGTCAATTCTGATTTAAAAATTAAAAACTTAATCTAATTTACGTAGAAAAAAGTAATTTTTCACGAGTTACACATGTCCTTTATTTACTATGTAATACACATGCGTGAAATTGTCTTCAGCAGATTAGACACTTAATCTTAAAATGCAAAATGATTTTATTCTAAATTAAACGAGTGCAACTATTATCTGTTATATTCAAACACTTTTATATGTAATAAAATTAAAAAGGCAGTGATTTCCTGTCAATTTGATAAACAAAACGAATTCTGGAAATGAATCCGGAATTACCAATTCTTTAGTATTGTCACATAACTTCCAGTTTTAATTTCGTCTTCAAAATCGAAAGAAACGTTAGCGATATCTGAGAAATTAACCATTTTGAGTCATTAAAATCATTTCAGTTTTAAACTGTTGCCTTCCCTAAACTGTTCTGCTCCGTGTTGAATGCCGTACCTTGACCTATAATGGTTTACTTTTATAAATTGTAACTTGGATGGAGAGTTGTCTCATTGGCACTCATACCACATCTTCCTATATCTATTGAATGTTTTTAGAAAAATGGTAAGAAAATTCATGAAGTAAATGCAATGAAACAGTCAATAGAAGTTCGTTGATGCTATGAATCTACCCTAGTGTGATTTCGACAATTTGAAAAAAGGGCACCAACTTTTAGGTTGCACTTTGTAAATTCAGCTGTTTCACAAGCCACGCCTCTTTTGGGGAGATATATAATATTCATAGATATAGATATGTTAATTTGTTTTTTAGCTCACCTGGCCCAAAGGGCCAAGTGAGCTTTTCTCATCACTTGGCGCCCGTCGTCCGTCGTTGTTAACTTTTACAAAAATCTTCTCCTCTGAAACTACTGGGCCAAATTAAACCAAACTTGGCCACAATCATCATTGGGGTATCTAGTTTAAAAAATGTGTCCGGTGACCTGGCCAACCAACCAAGATGGCTGCCATGGCTAAAAATAGAACATAGAGGTAAAATGTAGATTTTGGCTTATATCTCTGAAACCAAAGCATTAAGAGCAAATCTGACATGGGGTAAAACTGTTTATCAGGTCAAGATCTGTCTGCCCTGAAATTTTCAGATGAATCGGACAACCCGTTGTTGGGTTGCTGCCCCTGAATTGGTAATTTTAAGGAAATTTTGTTGTTTTTATACGACCGCAAAAAAATTTTTGTGGTCGTATATTGGTATGACGTTGGCGTCGTCGTCGTCGTCAGGCGTCGTCCGAAGACACATTGGTTTTCGCACTCTAACTTTAGTTTAAGTGAATGGATCTCTATGAAATTTTACCACAAGGTTCAATACCACAAAAGGAAGGTTGGGATTGATTTTGGGGGTTATGGTACCAACAGTAAAGGAATTAGGGGCCAAAAATAAGCATTTTTGTAACTTCCAGACATAACTTGTGTGTTAGTGTATGGATCTCTCTGACATTGTACCACAAGGTTCCATATCACAAAAGGAATGCTGGGATTGATTTTGGGGGTAATTGCCTCAAAATTTTAGGAATTAGGGGCCAAAAAAGGGGCAAAAAACAAGCATTTTTCTAGTTTCATGACAATAACTTGTGTGTAAGTGTATGGATCTTTCTGAAATTGTACTACAGGGTTCCATATCATAAAGGGAAAGCTGGAATTGAGTTTGGGGGTAATTGCCGAAACGTTTAGGAATTGGGGGCCAAAAAGGGGCCAAAAATAAGCATTTTTCTAGTTTCCAGACAATAACTTGTGTTCAAGTGTATGGATCTCTCTGAAATTGTACTGCAAGGTACCATACCACAAAGGGAAGGTGAGGATTAAGTTTGGGGGTGATGAATCATAAGGGGGTTCAAAAAATTTGGGGGGGGGGGGGGATTTTTTTTTTTTCATTTTTTTTTTCTTTTAAAATTTTCCATTTTAAGTTGGTTATTTCTGATTTATATTTAAAAGCAAATAATAATGATATGGTAGGAGATACACACCAAACAGGATGTGTAAATTATTATATAATAAGTATTGTGCAATAGCAATAAATTTTCAATTGCACAGTATTGCACAATAGCAAGAAATCTTCAATTGCACAGTATTGCGCAATAGCAAGAAATCTTCAATTGCACAGTATTGCGCAATAGCAAGAAATATCCCATAGCACAATATTGCGCAATAGCAAGAAATTGTCAATTGTACAGTATTGCGCAATAGCAAGAAATATTTGATTGCACAGTATTGTGCAAAGGAAGATACTTCGTATAAATTGCTTATTTCTTGACCAATTTCAATGGGGTTTTATTCTTGAATTCTTGGGGTTCTTTAATATGCTGAATCTAACCGTGTATTTAGATTTTGGATTTTGGGCCCCGTTTTTAAATTGGTCCACATTGAAGTCCAAAGGGTCCAAAATTAAACTTTGTTTGATTTCATCAAAAATTGAATTATTTGGGTTCTTTGATATGCCGAATCTAACCATGTATTTAGATTCTTAATTTTTGGTTCCGTTTTCAAATTGGTCTACATTAAGGTCCAAAGGGTCCAAAATAAAACTTAGTTTGATTTTAACAAAAATTGAATTCTTAGGGTTCTTTGATATGCTGAATCTAAACACGTATTTAGATTTTTGATTATGGGCCCAGTTTTCAAGTTGGTCCAAATCGGGGTCCAAAATTAAACTTTGTTTGATTTCAACAAAAATTGAATATATGGGGTTCTTTGATATGCTGAATCTAACCATGTATTTAGATTTTTGATTTTTGGGCCCCGTTATCAACTTTGTACACATTGAGGTCAAAAGGGTCCAAAATTAAACTTTGTTTGATTTCATCAAAAATTGAATTCTTGGGGTTCTTTAATATGCTGAATCTAACCATTTATTTAGATTTTGGATATTAGACCATAATAGGTGAATGTCCAATTTAAAATTTTTAAGTTCTTAGACCACATTCATTCTGTGTTAGAAACCTATGCTGTGTCAAATATTTAATCACAATCCAAATGCAAAGCTGTATCAAGCTTGAATGTTGTGTCCATACTTGCCCCAACTGTTCAGGGTTCGACCTCTGCGGTCGTATCAAGCTGCGCCCTGCGGAGCATTTTATTGGTTAGTTTCTTGAATATTATTATAGATAGAGATAAACTGTAAACAGCAATAATGTTCAGCAAAGTAAGATCTACAAATAAGTCAACTTGACCAAAATGGTGAGTTGACCCCTTAAGGAGTTATTGCCCTTTATAGTCAATTTTTAACCATTTTTCGTAAATTTTTGTAATCTTTTACAAAAATCTTCTCCTCTGAAACTACTAAGACAAATTTAACCAAACTTGTCCACAATCATCATTAGGGTATCTAGTTTAAAAAATGTGTCCGATGACCCTGACCGTGAACCAAGATGGCCGACATGGCTAAAAAATAGTTCATAGGGTAAAATGCAGTTTTTGGCTCATATCTCTGAAACCAAAGCATTTAGAGCAAATTTGACGAGGACCATTCAGGCAACACGTTGTTGGGTTGCTGCCCCTGAATTGGTAATTTTAAGAAAATTTTTCAGCTTTTGGTTATTATCTTGAATATTATTATAGATAGAGATAAACTGTAAACAGCAATAATGTACAGCAAAGTAAGATCTACAAATAAGTCAAAATGACCAAAATTGTCAATTGACCCCTTAAGGAGTTATTGCCCTTTATACTCATTTTTTTACAATTTTCATAAATTTTGTAAATTTTTGTAAATTTTTACAAAATATTTTCCACTGTAACTACTGGGCCAAGTTCATTATAGATAGAGATAATAGTAAGGAGCAAGAATGTTCAGTAAAGTAAGATCTACAAACACATCACCATCACCAAAACACAATTTTGTCATGAATCCATCTGTGTCCTTTGTTTAATATGCACATAGACCAAGGTGAGTGACACAGGCTCTTTAGAGCCTCTAGTTTTTTTAACTTTTTATTTTTTTATTTCCAACAATTACAACATATACATGACATACATACAATATAATACATATAAGATATATACAATGTCATTATTATAAATACATCTTAATTGGAAATATTTTACATTTTCTATTGAAAAGATATAAAAAAAAAAAAATTAAAAAAATATAAAAAAAATATAAAAATTAATAAATAAATATATAAATAAATAAATAATGATAATTAACAGATTGGAGTGAAGAGTAAAGAAGAAGGGAAAAACAAAAATAAAAAAACAAAAAGATTATCCAGATACATCCCTATCTACATTTTAAATATCAAATATTTATGTTGAAAAATATTTGCAAAATTAACTAGACATATTTCTTTCGTAACATCCATCAACACAGATCAAGTACATAACATGACAATAATATTTTCTTTAAAATAGATCATAATTAAATAGTCATAAGTTATTTTTACAAAAATAGACATTAGCTGGTATTCAATAAAAGTTTTTCAAAAACATTCCATACATTGTCAAATTCAGTTATCTTTTTATTTTTTACAGCTATCATACTCTCTAATTTATACATATCTTTCAGCTTTATTATAGCTGCTTGCAATGAGAGATTCTTTTTAAAGCATCTAGAATTATACACATATTGTTTAATATAAAGAAAAATCATGTTGTATGGGTTGTAATTTGTTAACGTACTGGTTCCTAGATATGATCTCTGTCTTTCATCTCATAGAGACATAACTTGAGAATGTTACCAGTATAGAAAAAAATGGTAGCACCTAAAATTGAATTCTTAGGAGGTCCAAACGTGGAGGAAGGGGTAGTATAGAATTTTAGTACAAGTTTAAACTCTTAGAAGTTCAGGGCATATAAATGTTGAAAATATGCTGCACAGCCCTATATTTTATCCTTTGAATAAAATAGTAGTGCATTTCAACTTTCTGTTCTGTGATATAATTTTTCACGAAACTTCCTAGTAAAAGTGGCACAGTTTTAGCGGCAAAGGGTGTTCTTATGGGAAATTACATTGTCTATATTTACAGAATTGCAACCTATATAGGGTGAAAAAAGAGAACATATAGAATTTCACCAAATCTGGTTTATCTCAGAGATTTAAATGAAATTAGCTCAAATACAAAGTTTTATGAATATTTCATGAAGATTGAGAAAATCCTAGGCCTTAATTATGATGACTCAGCATAAATTCACAGTTTACAGTATGCATAGTTTACTTAAAGGCCTGAATTCAAAATAAATTCTTAATGTATGCATATTTGTAATTTGAATTGTTTAGAAGCGCTTATATTTACTCTTCGCAGTCATTGAAACTCATAGATCCTTCCTGAATATTGTTTTTGGGGTATTTTTGTTCTGTCGATAACCCAAAAGTAAGCCGTAACACCTGAATGTGCTTTTTTGTGACCGCAGCATAAAAAAAAACAAGCTAGAAATACATAAATACCCCAATAAAACTAACAATAGTGTGTTCTATCCTAAATATGTATTGAATATTCCATATTCACAGAAAAAGCAGAATAATTTAGCAAATGTGAGGCCCCAGTGGCAAAAAAAACAGAAAATGCCTACCCCCTGGGTCACAAAACAGATAATTTAACCTGTAAATGCTATGATTTTATTATTTTAAAGGTCTTTTGTATAGAAAACAATAACTGTGCTTTGAAATTATGCAAAAAAACAGATGTTAGCAGTCAGTTCTATAAAACTTTTAGTGAAGTCATACATAAGACTGGTAACTTCATACATACAACTTTTGGAAATATGGCTTTGTTTAAACACTTCTTGTTCATATATTAGCTAAATTATGTTAGATATATGGTTAGAGATGATATTGTTGTGACAACATTTCTACACTCACCATTTGAGGTAGAAACTGTTAACTTTAATTGACAAATAGGCATACAGTGAGATGTGGACTGGAGACAAAGGCAGGATTTGATACTTTATATAATCTTAAATGTTGGAATGATTAACTACTAAACTTTACATTTATAGTGTTCTGAAATGCTTTTAATGTGTTATAAGAATAGTTTCAAACAGGTTCTAGACATTTCATGTCAGAAAACATGCACATAGGATAAGCTGACAATAATTAAAGTGTTGTTTTCAGATTCTTTAAAAAATTGAAACAGGGGTGGGGGTATAAAATGTACTGTAAAAGAAAGTTAGAGTATATGCAGTAATTTCTTTAAGGCTATAATTCTGATAAATAAGTATTGTTGTGAGAAAAAGTGTTTTTCAAGAGTTTTCTATTTGAATAAATGTTTGTATAGGTTGCACTTTGTAAAAACAGCTGTTTCACAAGCCACGCCTCTTTTGGGGAGATATATAATATTCATAGATATGTTAATTTGTTAACGTACTTGTTCCTAGATATGATCTCTGTGTTTAATCTCAAAGAGACATAACTTGAGAATGTTACCAGTATAGAAAAAAATGGTAGCGCCTAAAACTGAATTCTTAGTAGGTCCAAAAGTGGAGGTAGGGGTATTATAGAATTTTAGTATAAGTTTAAACTCTTAGAAGTTCAGGACATATAAATGTTGAAAATATGCCGCACAGCCCTATATTTTGACCTTTGAATAAAATAGTAGTGCATATCAACTTCCGTTCTGGGATATAATTTTTCACGAAACTTCCTAGTAAAAGTGGCACAGTTTTAGCCACAAAGGGAGTTCCTATTGGAAATTGCATTGTCTATATTTGCAGAATTGCAACCTTTAAGTCATCTCAAATGAACGAAATTGTATGAAAAAATTTCCGGATCCTTGTTCGAGTGCCTTCCACATTCCACAAAGTTGTCAATTTCATTAACACCTGTTAGCAAATATTGATTCAACCTGTGAGCTGATAAAGGTTATAACCCTTAAACTCATACAATCATCTTATGAGATCATCGGCAACCACACGTTGATTAAATTTTTTTATACCATGGGTCCGGAAAGGGTAAAATTGCCACAGAATTAGAGAAATTAGTAATATTAATTTCACACAACAAATATTATACTTTTCATGCAGATTTTGTAAAGGTATTTTAGAGCAATCTGGGTGTTCCAATCTTTTGAAATTGTATTTTTTTCGAAGCATGCCCAGTTAGTCCTCACCTTAGGAGAAAGCTTTATGTTTCAATAAATTTTTTCATATATATGTAATTATCTTTTTCAGAAATATTAAGTACTGGATCAATGGATGGAAATTCTAGAGTAAAAAATCTGGACTTAAAACTATCAGCTGTAGGGAAGCTGTACATAAAAACAGAAAGATATTTCCCTTCAGGTATAACATGTATATACTTATCCCAATAAACTCCACTTCGTAACTGGGGCATATGGTGTTACATATGTCCATCCTTCTGTCATTCTTTAATTGAACAGTTGTCCTAATTTATCCATTATACAGGTAGATATTATGGTATACCTTTGTACGTCCGTCTAACCGTCTGTCCGTCCGTCTGTCCGTCCGTCCGTCGTCAACATGTCGGACATTAACTCAAAAACGCTTTAACCAATTTGCATAAAACTTTGGTGAATTGTTTATATCTATTGACGTGAGCTCCCTTTCGTTTTTTATAAATTTTAGATTTTATGTTTTCAAGTTAAGGGGTTTTATTCATTAAAAAAAGGGGGATTTTCCAGTTTTTGGACAATAACTCAAGAATGCTTTCACCAACTTGCAAGAAATTTTGGTTGATTGTTTATATCTATTGACATGAGCTCCCTTTGGATTTTTATAAATTTTAGATTTTACGTTTCCGAGTTATGGGGTTTTATTCATAAAAAAAGGGGGATTTTCCAGTTTTCGGATAATAACTCAAAAGAGCTTTCAGCAGTTCTCATGAAACTTTGATGAATTGTTGATATCTATTGATGTAAGCTCCCTTTAGAATTTTATAAATTTTAGATTTTACATTTCCGAATTATGGGGTTTATTCATTAAAAAAGGGGGGATTTTACATTTTTCATACAATAACTCAAAAATGCTTTCAGCAATTCGTATGAAACTTTGGTGAACTGTTTATATCTATTGATGTAAGCTCCCTTTAGAATTTTATAAATTTTATTTGTTTATAGTCTGACAACAGATTTACTAAGTATTGCGCAACAGCACAATGTATTGCACAACAGCAAGTCAAATCTTTAATTGAATATAAATTCAATTCATATAACCAACTTCAAGTTCTTTGACTACATTTATTCAGAAACCTATAATACATGTATGTCAAATATTTAATTACAATCCAAATTCAGACCTGTATCAAGCTTGAATATTGTGTCCATTTTTGCCCCAACTGTTCGGGGTTAGACCTCTGCTGGTGTATCCAGCTGTGCTCAGCGAAGCAGTTTATTGTTTATTGTCTCGCCTGCAATGAAAGTTGCAGTATGTGAGACATGGGTATTACTATCCAGCGGTGGCGTAAACTATTTGTATAAAGCTTAATATTTCAGAAGGTAGAAGATTTGGATACTTCATACCTTGTATGCAGATACCTTATGTTACGAGGTTTCCATCTGTCATATGTCCATTGTCCTTGACCTCATTTTCATGGTTCAGAGACTGCTTGGAAAAAAATTACAGTTTTTTTGTCATGTGAATTTCTCACTTACTATGAGTAGTAGGATAACTATATTTGGTATATGGGTTCCTTGCAATGCCTACATGTCTGTCAGACAGGGTTCACCTGACCTCGACCTCATTTCTTGGATCAGTAATCAAGGTTAAAGTTACGTGATTAGGTCCATTTCTCAGATACTATAAGCAGTAGGTCAACTATATGTGGTATATGGAATGATTGTAAGGGGTACATGTCAGTCTGGCAGGTCTCATCTGACCTTGACCTCATTTTCATGGTTCATTGGTCAATGTTAAGTTTTTTGTGTTTTGGTCTGTTTTTCAAGTACTATAAGCAATAGGTCAACTATATTTGGTGTATGGAATGAATGTAAGATGTACATCTCAGTCTAGTCGGTATCATCTGGCCTTGACCTCATTTTCATGGTTCATTGGTCAATGTTGAGTTTTTGTGTTTTGGTCTGTTTTTCAAGTACTATAAGCAATAGGTCAACTTTATTTGGTGTATGGAATGATTGTAAGGGGTACATGTCAGTCTGGCATGTTTCATCTGACCTTGACCTAATTTTCATGGTTCATTGGTCAATGTTGAGTTTTTTTGTGTTTTGGTCTGTTTTTCAAGTACTATAAGCAATAAGTCAACTATATTTGGTGTATTGAATGATTGTAAGGTGTACATGTCTGTCTGGCCTGGTTCATCTGACCATGACCTCATTATCATAGAACATTGATAATGTTAAGTTTATGTGATACTTGTAGTAAGACCTTCATGTTACAAACTTTCAACATAAATTCAATCAAAAGTTTAACAGGCGAGACATTTCAGCGTGTGCACTCTTGTATTTTATTAATTGTGGAGTCACAGATCAAGGTCACATTTTTTAGCATGAAAATTTGACTTGTCTTAATTGTGATAATTATTTTTGTAGATACCGATAAAAAAATGATGGCTTCCAGATTAGTGCTACATGTTCCTAGGAGCCTTCAGATAAATATCCATCATGAGTTGTCACTGAATGGTTAGGAAGAATTGCAGCATAATCAATTATCACACAAACATGTAAAATAAACTTTTTATTGCAGCTTTCCTTATAAAATATTTGGAACAAAGAAGTTGTGAACTGGGACTGAATACAGAATGGGTTTTTAAATTGATGTTAGAGACAGGACTAGCGCCACCTAGGGTGTTTGAAATCTATGACAGATTATTCAAGTCTAGGGTATGTCTATTGATGTATACAGATAACACTTTGTGTTCTTGATTTAGTTGTAAGATGTCCTTTTTCAGAAAGATAGGATTATTAAAAGTGTCTTACTACTAGGGGGTTGTTTAACGATCTTGACTACCCAAGAGGTATTTGTGTCTTGGTTTAAACTCTTTAATGTTACCATGTAACCAGTAATGCAATAATGACTTTTTCATTGATATTGACAGAAAAACCATTGATTTGACTCATGCTTTGATTAATTGAACAATTAACTGTTTGTTCGTCCTCTGTCATAGATCAAATATAAGTTCTACTAAAAGGACATTGAAACTTTCGTAAACTGGCTAAATTTTGAATATGAGTAGTGTATACACATACCATTGGTAAAAACCTATTTATCATGATTATCAATAACATGTGTCTGTGTTGTAGTTCACTTTTCTAATCACATTTAAGTCACAAGGTCACTTAATATAATTGTCTTAGGTAACTAGCCCAGGTTACTTTCAAGCAAATTTGACAGGTTTATGTTTAACAGTAAACCTATGTTATAGGTCAAAGGTCCTTTTATATAAGAGGTATGGTCGTAAGGTTGCATATGTTTGTATATACATTGAAGATGGGACCATTTTTATATTCTAGGGTACTGTAGTTTTCCTTAGTTTTGCTTATTTTGTGGATTTCAGCTGATAAAACATTTGGTTATTAGGATTCAAATGAATTCTCCCTAAATCATATCAATTGACTATGTCCATATATGTAATTCTTCATTAACAATTGTAGGATCCATTCTGGCTATCAATACAGAAACCTCTGAGATTGCTGGAAGTTCTGTGTGAACTTTTATGTCATTTAGTGGCACATCCAGCTCAAATACCAGTGTATGAAAGGTGGGTATATGCCATTTTTATAATATAAGCTTCAGCATTTTAGGTACCCAGATTCATTCTGGGCCCAATTTATAGTTGGAAAAAATCAGCATTTGACCTATTGTTATAACCTTCAATCAAGAAATCATTTTTTTTACAACAAATTTATTGTTTGTGTAAGTGTCAAGTTGTGTTTCAATTTTGTAAAACTTTCTTATCGCATAAAAGTCCTAATTTTTCAAGCTGGTGTGTGTGTTTCAAAATTTCATAAAAATATATAATAGTACTGTGGATTCATTTCTATTCATGGTATAACAATTTTCGTGAGTTTCATTGGTCACAGCAAACCGTGGACCCGAGAAATGTGTATTCAGTCGAATGTTTATTTCCGGTTATGTTGTGCAAATCTATTATAGTGTTGACTTGCGATAAACATGGTAACATGAAACGTGTTCTTGAAAAAAAAAAAAGTATTTTTGATAAATAGATAATCAAATCTGTAGAATATCAGTGAGAATTTCATCAAAATGAAATGAAATAATCATTTCCAACATGAAACTTAAATTTAAGAAAAATAGCCTTTTACGTGTTCCCCAGAGTTTATATAACAAAACTGTGTGATGAATAAATAGTGGAACATGCCTTATTTTATTAACTTTGGCTGCAAACATGGAAAGCGTGTTTCTTACTTTTGATAATTTCCTAATTACTGCTTATTTGCAATCAGTTGTACATTAACCTTTGAATACCTTTTGGCAAGACATTACAAATTGTTCAACAAACAAATAACTAGTTGCCTTTGTACATGCTTGCAATGGAATTTTTAAAAGAACATTTTAACCTAGAATTTTTACAATTCAAAACATTTTCAAAGAATTTCTATCTTTTATTATTTATTATTCAAACCGAGATCCATGAATTTACGTAGCTGAAGTATTTTTTAAAATTTTTTGAAACAGCGATCCACGAATTTACGTATCCCACGAAATGTCTTTTTTTTCTCTATCCACGAAAATAAATAAATCCAAAGTATTTAGCCTTATTTGTAGTTTTTTCATATTAATAATTTCATGCTCTCTGTTTTCTAGGAGACTATTTACAACTGTGTGTCTTGATTCAGTGGCAAGTTACTTGGTAGAACTACAGGCTATGAGAAGTACAGAATCACATATAAGACTGATTAATCAGTTTAAAAGACTTCAGTCAGAACTGGAGCGTTTGTGACAGCCATAAATCTGTAATGACATTAAATGTAAATTATTTTATAAAGTATTGTGAAAAATCAATATTTTGAATTGATTAAATTGTCAGCCATGTTTTTATTATGCATAACAACATTTTTAAGAATATTCCGAAGTATAGTCTTAGTTTGAGTTGACTATTGAGTTATTCAACATCTATACCTTGAGTCAGCTAAAGATCACATTTAATGAGCATCCATGTCTCAAGTCTGCTAAAAATTACATTTAGCGAGAATTCATTCCTTTAGTCTGCTAAAAATCATATTCAGTGAGCATCCATACCTTTAGCAAGTTAAACATTACATTCAACAAGCACCCATTCCTTGAGCAAGCTAAAGATTACACGTGATGAACATCTTTACCTTGAGCAAGTTAAAAATTACATTCAAATATCAACAATGCAAGGTTTTATAAAAATCTGTATTCATATAACTTGGTGTAATGATGCATCTAAGAGAGTATAGCAACATCTTACAAAAAGAAGGTGACTCAGCCCCTCATTCTACATTCATAGTAAGTTTTACATCCAAGTGTAGATATTAGATACTATATATCACCTACAATCATATAGCTTAATGAGTATGCATTCACTGGAGCATAGCAGATAGTCCTTTCTTACTTTATTTTATAACTTTGGTGATTTGTATTATAAGTTGAAGTTCATTTTCCAGATACTAAGTGACCTTTTACACTGAACTTAAATTTCACTGCGACAACTTGATCAATTATGATAAAGGTTTTTCAAGCCAATTTGGGGTTTAGGCAAACTTTGTAATTGAAGATTACCTATGTTTATTTATGTAAGTGAATCATTATAAAATTACTCCTAGCTCTGTTTACACTTGATATAATTATTGCCATTTTTATTAACTTACACTGAGTTAATTCAAAAGAATATATGTTTATTTTAATATGAAATAAGAATGTACTGTGGTTACAATAGAATATATGGCATACTTTGGCCTACAGTGGCAATTATATCTTGAATATGCATGAACTATTTGTCACTTAAAATGTTAATAAATCATTGTCAATTAAATTCTATGTTAACATTTTACAGAGAAACCTTTAAAATATCTTCATTTAAAATGTTCATTCAAATAAAGAAAAAGAAAGGAACGATTGTCTGATTCTATTATTGTTATACACATCAGTAAGTCTAGAATTAAACTTAACAGACATTGTATGCCCCCACCAAAAACTTTTAGGTCATAAAGGTTTACCTGTGTCCTTCAATATGCAACAATTTTTTACAATCTTTGTGTAAAGGTGATCTTGGAGTTTTTGTATATTGATCAAGACCAAATTGCATTTTCACCATGTTACACCTGTTTTTGACAGAATTGTGTTACATGAGCATTAATTTTGAGTATGAATCTAAAAACTGTCCACAATTTTTGCCATGTTTTCATGAAAAAAGCATCTAATCTAGGTTGTTTTTCATTCTGAAAAAAAGAAGTGTATGGTTGTGTTATCCTGTATATTCCAAAGATGCTGTGTGAAATTTGTACTGATTTCTGTCTTGCCTGGGACAAAGTCGCGAAAAGCGAGACATAGGGATTGCTTTTCTGGCGATGGCTGCGACAACAGCGGCAACAATTGTTAAGTTTTCTGCTTAAGTTAGTTTGATAGGAACTACTTGTGATAGATCATTGATATTCAATATAAAGTTGCATCACTACCAGTACATATCAGTTTGACGACTATTTTGAGGCCCTGCCCCTAGGTCATGGTCCAGCGACTTTGAATTAACTAGCAATTTTCAATGTTAAGTTTTCTGCTTAAGTTAGTTTGATAGGAACTACTGGTGATAGATCAATGATATTTTGTATGAAGTCACATTACTATCAGTACATATCAGTTTGACGACTATTTGGAGGCCCTGCCACCCAGGACATGGTCCAGTGACTTTGAATTATTAGCAATTTACAATGTTAAGTTTTCTGCTTATGTTAGATTGATAGGAACTACTAACAATAGACAACGGTATTTTCTATAAAGTTACATTACTGTTTGTACACCTCAGTTTGTCAACCATTTTGAGGCCCTGCCCACTAGATCATGGTCTAGCGACTTTGAATTAATAAGCAATGTTGCTGTTCATCAGATTGTCTTTATCTGAATTTTATGCCGACAGGCGAGACATATCTCTGTGTCAACAGTTTATTTTATTAAAAGAGGGCCAAAATTTTACAGTAATCATTTCACCTTATTGATAATTATTGTACATTGTAGAAAATATCTGAAATATGTTAATCATCACTATTATATGAAAATTCAAATGAATATATATCTACTTTATCAGCATTTTTGAAATTTTCCCATTCTGTTTTTTTTTGTGATCATTTGTTGCATTCTGATAAATATTTCTTCAATAGAGTCCAGTTATTTATTGGTATTCTGTGTATCTTTATCTCTGCTCAGCTCTTCATAAAATTGCACATGATGGCTTTGTCAGGTAAAAAATTTAAGCCTCCTTAACTTTGACCTGATCTTATCACTGACATCATAATGTTTGACTTGCTGTGGGTTTTATCCAGTTTTCTTCCATTCTACTGGTAAAGCAAAGAAAAGGCTGTTTCAATCTTGAAAAACAAATAAATACAATCCAGTAAAATCATTATCAGATTTTTCTTAAATTGATATTGTAAAATAGCAGCTGCCCAACACCATTTGAAGCTTTTTTAAGGTTGTATCCTTATCCTTTTATTGTGACTTGACTTGCAGCTGATAATTTATATTATCCCTTTTTTCCTAAATTTGCCTTTATCGGTAATATTTTTTGTATGATAATTTTCCTTCTCCTTTTATGTAGTGAAAGTATTTTTAAAATAAATACAAATGGGTCCATGCAGGTTTACATGAGTGTTCACAACAAAGAAAGAGTGTGTAGTTTCAATATTTTATTATCATAACACAAATAAATATACAATCACTTAATTCACACATGAATACAGAATCAGAATAAGTTACAATACTCTATTATAATTTGCCAATCAAGCTAAATTTAAAAAAAGGAAACGTCTTTCTATAAATAGGACAATGTGTATTTGAAATACTTGATGCAGGATTTAACATGCAAAAGTGTGATGCAGTGCTTTTTACCATCGCAGAATTATAATATTACTTCCAGCTTCCAAATAGCTCTATTATCTTCTTAATTTGATTACCCAATTTCGAAACACATCTTCAAGGTCTTGAAACTAACATCAACAAGACTTTGCCAGAAGTTGACATCAATAATGGTAAAGCAAAAATATATATATTGTACTTATATGTAATATAAGTACTGTTTATACAAACAGCCTTTCCAGCTTACACTAAATAATTAATGTGATAATAAAGATGCTGTCATTCTGGATACATTTAATTAACATACACAGACCACTTGTTATATCTTGAGGTTAATTTCCCTGGCATTTGACACTTTGAAGTTACAACTGGAATCTCACTAGGAGGCCCTATAATCTTTTCTTAATCAGATACATGTCATAATTAATAACGGTTGGTGAGGAAATGCAGATAATGATACCAGATCTTATAAAAATTAATTACACAACAATAAGTATATTATCTGAAGGTCAGTGAGGTCAGTCTCCTCCCACTGTATGATTGATGTACCCTATCTCTGTGTAAGGCCATATGCATGGTCTTTGTATAATCAGTTTCTTGGTTCATAGCAGTCTTGACTAGTTGATATAGTTTTACAGTGCTATTATTTAATTTACCGCCCACCATCCACCTTCCTAACAACTTCAATAATATTTCATGACGAGGGAAACATCTCAGCTTTTACTAGTGATATATATTTTATTTTATTAATTTTGATTCCTTGATGGAATTTTATCACTGGTTATTTCTAAAATTTCATTCATCCCCAAGCATTTCGGGGACAAATTTTATCAAATTTATTCCAGCGCCAGTTTGATATACCCCTGCTACTCTACTAGCACATGGGCTATCCCCATGCAGACCTTGCACACCCCGGCTGCAGATGAGACGCCTAGTCTCATCACCTAAGTGGAGAACCCTCGCTTCACATTCCCCGGCTGGCGTATTGTCGGGCAGACAGGTTCTTCCTCACACTGGAGGTTGCAAGCTGACTTGCTCAGGCAGGAACTCAAAATTGTCTTGTATGCTGAGTGTTTCCCTAGGGCCAACACCAGATTGATTAATTGTTTTTTATAATAAAATTATTATTCATTCTAAAATATCTTTCTGCTTTAAGCCAGTATGATTTTGCTAAGACTATGACTTTGGTTTACACACAGATACCCCTTATGTTACATTTGGTATTGTTTTTCGGAGCTGGTATTTGCTCAATTACATAGATGAGATCTGGACTTTAATAATTGAGATTTGCTCTATTAGGAGAGTTTTACTTTAATTAAGTGTGGATTGTCAGGACTTGCTCATCAATACACACAAAACATAATTCTACCTGAAAAATTACATCTGTTAAATAATAATATATCTCAAGAAATTTAGTAAGCCTGCCACTGGTGACTTGGAATGTTTTGATCACTGACACTAGAGGCATAAACAAGGAGTATTTCCAGACCACTCTAACAACTTCACAAGAATTCAAGACAACCTCATACTAAAAGTACAGAAACAATATTTCACTTTATGAGACTCAATAAATATACAACATTAGACTGGAGAAAAAATAAAAATATGAGACTACAGAAAAGAATAACAATATGAGACAACAGAATACAAATTTGATTGTTTGTATAAAATGTTACCTTGCTGAGTGTATTTTCACAACGATACAAATATTTCAATAACTTCTTCTTGGACATCAATAACATTCCAGGATATTTTACAGCAAGGTCTTTGATTTCCTAAAGTGATGTTATATGGCACTTGGTTCTTCTTCGAAAATACACTGCATTCAGTAGCTGGAAAGTAGAATGCTAGTTGTCTCGCCTGTGACAGGAAGCGAAACATAGGTGTTGCTTTTCTGGCGATGTCAGTGTCAACAATTGTTAAGTTTTCTGCTTAAGTTCGTTTGATAGGAACTACTTGTGATAGATTAATGATATTTTCTATTAAGTTGCATTAACATTAGTACAAATCAGTTTGACGACTATTTTGAGGCCTTGCCCCCTAGGTCATAGTCCAGTGACTTTGAATTGATTGGCAATTTTCAATGTTTAGTTTTCTGTCAGTTTGATAGGAACTACTTTTCATAGACAATGCTATTTTTTATAAAGTTGCATAACTATCAGTTTGATGACTATTCCGATGCCTTGTCCCCTAGATCATAGTTCAGTGACTACGAAATAATTAGCAATTCTTGTCTTGCCTTGACGGAGTCAAAAAGCGAGACATAGGTATGCTGTCTCCGGCGGCGGCGGCAACAATGTATTAGTTTGTGATTAGGTCTGGTTTATGGTGAACCACTAGTGGTATGTCAATGATATCTGGTATACAGGTGTTTTAGCATTGGCACATCTCATTTCCATGGAGATTATTTAGCCCCGCCCACTCAGTCATGGTCTATTGACTTTGAAACTTGTTTAGTTTACATATATTAATTTGTGATTAGGTCAGTTTTAAGGAAAACATTAGTGGTAGGTCAATGATAATTGGTATGCAGAATACAAAACTCATGGCTAATTAAATATTGAACTTGTTAAATAACTTGTTTAACCGAAGATGGAATATCACTAGATCAATATATTCTAAGTTTATCGACATGGATATTAAAACTTTTTTTGGAGTCTCTTATTTGGTAACTTATACAGGACTACGTTTTTTTTAATTTTATGACTACAAATGGACCACATCATGGATTTTTTGAAAAATGGTTTCTTTTTATATACAAGAGATTCAACTGATACTGGTTTATCAATTATTCTCGTATCATGGTCTAGTTTTTGTCTTTCATCGGACTGTTAAATATTTTCTCGAGCCACATGGTATATTTTTTCCATGTGAACTCTCAAATCGTCTACATAATCATTCACATTTTTTTGTGCTTTGTGGCGACAATGAGGAGAGAATTTTATGGGGGTAGATTCACTTCCCGTCCCAACATTAATGTATTTGGACTTGACCAAGTGGAAGGATGAATAGTGCTTCTGTATACACTCATTAATATGGGAATATAGAAATCCCAATTTATTCTGTTGTCATTTATATAAGACTTCATCATCTTTCCTCAGGTTTGGTTAAAATTTCCAGCATACCATTGGATGTTCGATGAAAGGAGGTTGATTTCATTTTATGAATAGCAAGGAGCCTGCATCGTTTTTGGAATAAAATGCTCTTGAAATTTGTCCCTTGATCTGCATGGATTTCTAGAGTAATTCCAAATCTAGAAATGAACACGTTTCTCTTCAATGTTTTGCGCATATTGATTACATAAATGATAGACCTCTAATCATCTGGTAAAGTGAGTACCAATTAATAAAATAAATCTGTTGCCAGATTTTGACTTGCGAAATGGTCCCATAACATCCAATGCTACTCTGTCCATAGGAAACCCAACATGATAGTTCTTTAAAATCGCATAACTCTTGTTTGTTTTCCATAGTATCCAATCGTAGCACAGTTTCAATATTTTAGATCTTAAAATATCTGGAACTTACAATTGCGCAATTTTGTCAATATAACGGAACTATAAACAAATGTCATAAAAGTGGGAGGTTTAGCTAGCTATAAAACCCCCTTCGGAAAATGCCTGTACCAAGTCAGGAATATATATTTCTTTTTAATTTCAAAAGTGTTTGTATAAACTAATCATTTTAATTATGCAGAATTATAGAAATTCTATTAAACTTTGCTACTGGAATATTGGTGGTATTTTTAGAAATCATCAAAATAAATTAGAAGATGCACATTACCTAAGTGAAATAAAAGATTTTGACTTGGTAATTCTTGGTGAAACACATATAGGTTACAACACTACTATCACCCTTCCAGAATATAGTTATTTTCCTTTCTGTAGAAATATTTCTACAAATGGAAGGTGTTCTGGTGGCTTAGCTATTTTAAGAAAAAAATCAGTTAAACAACATATAAAAATTATAATTAGTTATAAAAAAAGGGGGAGGTGATGATTTGTGGTGATTTTAATGCACAAACTGCCTCTGATTTAGACTATTTCAATTGATAGTTACAAATACCTTCCGTTGTTTGATTCTTATAAGAATGATGATAATATAAGAGGGAGAAATAGTCATGATGTTATATTAGATGCAAGAGGGAATGAACCACTTGAACTGTCTATAAGTAATCCGTTACGTATTGCCAATGGTAGGTGCTTATGGGGATTTTTTTGGTCGATTTACTTGTTATAATCCATTGGGTCAAAGCACAGTTGATTATCTAATGGCTTCAGAGTCAATTTATTCACAAATATAGTATTTTAAAGTTTCTGATTTTATACCATTTTTATCAGACTGTCATTGTAAAATCTCTTGGGAAATTTTAGCCAAGTTCAGAAATATTTGTCCTAATAAGGATTATAATATGAATCATGAGTTGCCCACAAATTTTACCTGGAAAAAGGATTCTAGTGAAAAATTTCAAGAGGCTTTAAATTAACATGAAATTCAAGAAAAAATCAAACTGTTTCTGAAAAAATCAAAGAGTTTGACATCAAATGATATTGATGAAGCAGTTAAAGACTTAAATGACATAATTTTGTCAGCTGCAAAACTGTTTCTTTCAAAACCAAAATATAGAAAAAGAAAAGAAAAAAGTAAAAAATGGTTTGATTTGGATCTTAAAAAAGATTAGGGGAAATGTTTTATCCCAAGGAAAACTTTATAGTGAATTTCCAAAAAATCCCGTAATAAGGGGTCATTATTATAAGCATAATATAATAAACTAAGGAAATATGAATATAGACAATTTAAGAATGCTATTGTCAACCAGTTAGACCAACTTAATGATAATGATCCAAAACAATACTGGAAACTTAATGATCAGAGATCAGAAAGTCGAGAAAATAAGGGCAATTCAATTGACGCAGACACATGGCAACAGCATTTTAAATCCTTACACTCATCAGTTGATGTCAACTTTGAATCTCGTATGAAAAAGATAAATGATTTTATATGCCAAAAGAAGATAACTAAATTTTTAATCAATTATTCTATAAAATAACACCAAAAGAGATATCAACTGCAATATCTTTACTCAAATTGGGTAAAGCAAAAGGATCAGATTTAATATCAAATGAAATACTGAAGTCTGGTTTGTCACCACTTTTGCCTTGTTTATTGGGTCTCTTTAATTTATGTTTTTAAACGGTGATTACCCAGATACATGGGCTGATGGTTATATTACTCCTATTTTTAAACATGATGACTCTTATGATCCAAATAATTACAGAGTTATAACTATTACCAGTAATTTAGGCAAAGTTTTCAATAGCATATTAAATAATAGACTTGATAATTTTCTCAGTGTTAACAATTTAATACATCCAACACAAATTGGGTTTACAAAAAAAGGTAGGACAAGTGACCACTGCTTTGTTGTAAAAAGTCTTATTGATAAATATTGTAATTCTAAGGAAGGAAGACTTTATGCCTGTTTTATAGATTTTTATAAGGCATTTGATAGTGTTATTCATAATGGAATGAAGCTTAAATTGTTACAAATAAATGTAGGACACAATTTTTATAATATTATAGATAGTATGTATAATAAGAGCAAAGCATGTGTAAAAGTAAACGATTCAGTTACCAGCTCCTTCCCAGTAAAAATGGGGGTTCGTCAAGGGGATAATTTAAGTCCAACTCTGTTTAAAACTTTTATTAATGATCTCCCATCATATTAACAAACATGCTTTGATTCTGTGAAACTTAAATGTAAAGATTTAGATTGCTTAATGTATGCAGATGATGTTATAATCTCATGTTGCCCCTTGTGGGCCCTTTAATTTGGAATAATGTATATTCTATTATATGGAAGTTGATTTGTTCCATTGATTGCTAGCATTTGAATTTGTAAGTTTTTATGGACTTACCCTTTTTGAATTTGCCATTAAGTTCGGTATTTTTGTAATACTTTTTTGCATTTAATTTTTTGGAATTAAAGTTGGTTTGCTTGGAATTCCTCTTAGATACAGTGCACCATCATTCGTAGTTATATTGGTTTAAGATTAAGCCAATATTTTCTGGTGGCAGGACTTATAAGACGTGCAACTTCTTTTTTTGTTGGTAATTCTTTTGACTCTTTTCTTACATAT